ACATGTATAGCTTGGAGGAAAGACGAGACAGGGGGGATATGATAGAAACATTTAAATACATAAAGGGAATCAACACAGTAAAGGAGGATACTATATTTAAAAGAAGAAAAACTACCACAACAAGAGGACGTAGTCTTAAATTAGAGGGACAAAGGTTTAAAAATAATATCAGGAAGTATTCCTTTACTGAGAGGGTAGTGGATGCATGGAATAGCCTTCCAGCTGAAGTGGTAGAGGTTAACACAGTAAAGGAGTTTAAGCATGCGTGGGATAGGCATAAGGCTATCCAAACTATAAGATAAGGCCAGGGACTAATGAAAGTATTTAGAAAATTGGGCAGACTAGATGGGCCGAATGGTTCTTATCTGCCGTCACATTCTATAGCAAGAAAATATCTGAAGTCAGATGAAACTTTTTTCATGCAGGCTGTCAGTGACAGATAGGGGAGGTATGACTATGGCTTCATGAACAGAAACAAAAGCAATTTAACTCCTATGTACTAAAACAGCTTTGTTACGATAGTTATTTTGATGCCTAGTGTGCCTTTAATACGTACGCAGCCAGGGCAGCCTTTGTGTGGAAAACGCAGGAATAAGGAATGAGATGTAAGGCAAACAAACAGGCCAGCTACTCTAGCTGGGGGGACCTGTTCCCGTACCCACCCCCACATTAATATATGACGGGACATCAATGTGGGAGAGATGTGTGGCGTGTTGGGGGTAACAGATCTGGCATTCCCACACACAGAGCCAGGAGGAACCTGCAAGAGAGGTGTCACCAAAACATTAAGAAAGACATTATTAGGAATTATTCTATTGAATGTTAGGGCCACTTACCTTGGAGAGGTAGATATTGAGCAGAGCCAAGGAGAGGAACTGCAGGCAGTCTGCGGAGCAGTAGGGCAGCCAATGGGGAAAAGGCTTCAGGGGGCCCCCCTGGGCACACTGGCTCAGGTAGTAGGAGTAGAGTACAGTCCTTATGGCCCCCCAGAACAGGCATAGGAAGAGCCCCAGACTCTGCATACTCAGCCTTCTCTGATTATAGAATCGGAGCAGCCAGAGCTGAAGGTAGGTGACCACGAAGATACAAGCAGAGAGCCCAGTGCACAGCATGGTAAGTCCCAGCTCCCACTCCCAGGGAATGGGCCCCTGCATGCTGCTTACTAACATGGGCCCCTAAGGAATACACAGGGCAACGAGAGACAGTTCCAAGACCATGGAATTCCAGGGAAGCTTACAGTCAAGGGCCCAGGAAACACCACTCAAATCCTGCCTCCCAGGGGACAATCATCACTCACAGAGTCCCCGCCTCCCAGGGGCCAATCAGCACTCACAGAGTCCCCGCCTCCTAGGGGACAATCAACACTCACAGAGCCTCCCACACTCACAGGCCCCCGTCTGTACTTGGACCCATTCTCATTCTCACAGGGCCCCGCCTCCCAGGAACCCCACACTCACAGGGCCCCGCCTCCCAGGAACCCCACACTCACAGGGCCCCGCCTCCCAGGAACCCCACACTCACAGGGCCCCGCCTCCCAGGAACCCCACACTCACAGGGCCCCGCCTCCCAGGAACCCACACTCACAGAGATCCGCCTCCCAGGAACCCGCTATCACAGAGCCCCCCCTCCCAGGAACCCGCTATCACAGAGACCCACCTCCCAGGAACCCGCTATCACAGAGCCCCGCCCCCCAGGAACCCGCTATCACAGAGACCCACCTCCCAGGAACCCACACTCACAGGCCCCGCCTCCCGGGAGGACAATCAGCACTCCGCCCCCGTCCCGTTGCCGTAATCCGAGCCGGGCTGCCGTAACCTCTCGGGGAAACACAGTGTTTAAGAGATTGCAGTCCCACCCCCGCCATCCGATTGGCTGCGCCCACACCAACCCACCCATTTTATAGGAAAGTGCAGCTGTCAATCACGGACGGTGAACAACACACACGCCTCCCGCGCGTGACACCGTCCTGGGCAGTGATTGGCCAGCTGTGGCCCCGCCCTATCAGGAAGACGCCAGTCTGTGCCCGCCCAGCGCTGTCTGGATATGGAAGGGGATTGGTCGAGGCGAATGCTGCGCGCTGAGGGGGCGGGACTCTGGCGCTCATTTGATGACGTCAGATGGCGACAGCGAGTGCGCCGGGGTCAGAGAGAAACATGGCTGTTACCAAGGAAACAGCGAACCAGGACCGTGCTGCCATGGTAACCACCCACCCGGGAATCAGGGTTATCTATCAGTGGGGTGTCTGGCTGTTCCCGTGTGGCTGAGTGGCAGGGTTATCTATCAGTGGGGTGTCCGGCTGTTCCCGTGTGGCTGAGTGGCTGGGTTATCTATCAGTGGGGTGTCTGGCTGTTCCCGTGTAGGCTGGCTGAGTGGCAGGGTTATCTATCAGTGGGGTGTCCGGCTGTTCCCGTGTGGCTGAGCGGCAGGGTTATCTATCAGTGGGGTGTCCGGCTGTTCCCGTGTAAGCTGGCTGAGTGGCAGGGTTATCTATCAGTGGGGTGTCTGGCTGTTCCCGTGTAAGCTGGCTGGGTGGCAGGGTTATCTATCAGTGGGGTGTCCGGCTGTTCCCGTGTAAGCTGGCTGGGTGGCAGGGTTATCTATCAGTGGGGTGTCCGGCTGTTCCCGTGTAAGCTGGCTGAGTGGCAGGGTTATCTATCAGTGGGGTGTCCGGCTGTTCCCGTGCGGCTGAGTGGCAGGGTTATCTATCAGTGGGGTGTCCGGCTGTTCCCGTGTAGAAAAGCTGGCTGGTGGCAGGGGTTATCATCGAGTGGGGTGTCTGAAACATTCCGTGTGGCTTTCTGGGTGGCAGGGTTATCTATCAGTGGGGTGTCCATTTGTTCCGCGTGTAAGCTGGCTGAGTGGCAGGGTTATCTATCAGTGGGGGTGTCAGGCTGTTCCCGTGTAAGCGGCTGGAGGTGGCAGGGTTATCTATCAGTGGGGTGTCCGGCTGTTCCCGTGTAAGCTGGCTGAGTGGCAGGGTTATCTATCATTGGGGTGTCCGGCTGTTCCCGTGTAAGCTGGCTGGGTGGCAGGGTTATCTATCAGTGGGGTGTCCGGCTGTTCCCGTGTAAGCTGGCTGAGTGGCAGGGTTATCTATCAGTGGGGTTTCCGGCTGTTCCCGTGTAAGCTGGCTGAGTGGCAGGGTTATCTATCAGTGGGGTGTTCGGCTGTTCCCGTGTGGCTGAGTGGCAGGGTTATCTATCATTGGGGTGTCCGGCTGTTCCCGTGTAAGCCGGCTGGGTGGCTGGGTTATCTATCAGTGGGGTGTCCGGCTGTTACCGTGTAAGCTGGCTGAGTGGCTGGGTTATCTATCAGTGGGGTGTTCGGCTGTTCCCGTGTGGCTGAGTGGCAGGGTTATCTATCATTGGGGTGTCTGGCTGTTTCCCGTGTGGCTGAGTGGCTGGGTTATCTATCAGTGGGGTGTCCGGCTGTTCCCGTGTGGCTGAGTGGCTGGGTTATCTATCAGTGGGGTGTCTGGCTGTTCCCGTGTAAGCTGGCTGAGTGGCAGGGTTATCTATCAGTGGGGTGTCCGGCTGTTCCGTGTAGCAGGGTTATCTATCAGTGGGGTGTCCGGCTGTTCCCGTGTAAGCTGGCTGGGTGGCAGGGTTATCTATCAGTGGGGTGTCCGGCTGTTCCCGTGTAAGCTGGCTGAGTGGCAGGGTTATCTATCAGTGGGGTGTCGGGCTGTTCCCGTGTGGCTGAGTGGCAGGGTTATCTATCAGTGGGGTGTCCGGCTGTTCCCGTGTAAGCTGGCTGAGTGGCAGGGTTATCTATCAGTGGGGTGTCCGGCTGTTCCCGTGTGGCTGGGTGGCAGGGTTATCCATCAGTGGGGTGTCCGGCTGTTCCCGTGTAAGCTGGCTGGGTGACAGGGTTATCTATCAGTGGGGTGTCCGGCTGTTCCCGTGTGGCTGAGTGGCTGGGTTATCTATCAGTGGGGTGTCCGGCTGTTCCCGTGTAAGCTGGCTGGGTGGCAGGGTTATCTATCAGTGGGGTGTCCGGCTGTTCCCGTGTAAGCTGGCTGAGTGGCAGGGTTATCTATCAGTGGGGTTTCCGGCTGTTCCCGTGTAAGCTGGCTGAGTGGCAGGGTTATCTATCAGTGGGGTGTTCGGCTGTTCCCGTGTGGCTGAGTGGCAGGGTTATCTATCATTGGGGTGTCCGGCTGTTCCCGTGTAAGCCGGCTGGGTGGCTGGGTTATCTATCAGTGGGGTGTCCGGCTGTTACCGTGTAAGCTGGCTGAGTGGCTGGGTTATCTATCAGTGGGGTGTTCGGCTGTTCCCGTGTGGCTGAGTGGCAGGGTTATCTATCATTGGGGTGTCTGGCTGTTCCCGTGTAAGCCGGCTGAGTGGCAGGGTTATCTATCAGTGGGGTGTCCGGCTGTTCCCGTGTAAGCTGGCTGAGTGGCAGGGTTATCTATCAGTGGGGTGTCTGGCTGTTCCCGTGTTGCTGGGTGGCAGGGTTATCTATCAGTGGGGTGTCCGGCTGTTCCCGTGTTGCTGGGTGGCTGGGTTATCTATCATTGGGGTGTCCGGCTGTTCCCGTGTAAGCTGGCTGGGTGGCTGGGTTATCTATCATTGGGGTGTCCGGCTGTTCCCGTGTAAGCTGGCTGAGTGGCTGGGTTATCTATCAGTGGGGTGTCCGGCTGTTCCCGTGTTGCTGGGTGGCAGGGTTATCTATCAGTGTGGTGTTCGGCTGTTCCCGTGTTGCTGGGTGGCAGGGTTATCTATCAGTGTGGTGTTCGGCTGTTCCCGCTCTTTTCACTTGCTCACATTTTATTAATATTTGTATATTTTTGTCTTTGTTATCCACAGATTCAAGACTTGTGAAACTGGATCATATTGAAAGCAAAGATGTCCTTTGTAATTTTTTTACTTCTGTTCGTCCATATAGTTTCCCTAATTTTAGCGAAATGTAGCTTATTGGAACTAACCTCTAACAATTATATTAGCACTTTGCATCCTGGGAAAATCTGTCTGCTTTACTTCACTAAATCAGGTAAGATCGCTTTCTTCTTATTGGCAGATCTCACATGGGAGCATGCAGCGTACAGGAGGGAGCCAAACGTAGATCCATAGATATTGGAGAACTACAATTTCCATCATGCTTTGCCAGCCTTTAGAATGCAAAGCATAGTGGAAGTTGCAGTTTTGTGACATGTGGGGATCTCCATTCGCTCACCCCTGCCATACGCCATATACACTACTTATGGCGGCTGCATTGGGTTTAGCTGTACAACCTTAGTATTCACCAGGATTGTTAGAATCCATTCTGTCGTGTTATTACACAAACTGAAATAAGAGGTGCGCTTTAAAAAGGAAATCTACATCACATGGAAATAAATACTTAGGCAAAAGCCAACGTCTGACTATTTCAAAACACGCTCCCAAGGATATAAAAGGAAAGATTACAGAACTATAGTGTGTACCGTTCTAATCATGTATCTAACTAGATGGAAAAAACAGATAACATTTGTATCCTGTAATACTTTTCTTATTGGACTAACAGAATTTTTTGATAACAAGCTTTTGGGAGAACCTCCCTTTCTTAAGTGCTTCTGATCAAGAAATTCTGTTAGTCCAATAAGAAAGGTATTACAAGATACAAATGTTATCTGGTTGGTTGTTTTTTTACAAATTATGACTTCCATGAAATTCCTGAACCCCTGAACCGATCGGGGTTATTGTTTGGATATGTTGTTCAGCCAGATCGGGGCTATCAGGGGATGTAACTTTTGTGGGGTTTTGTTAAAATGTTTGTTTTCTGTGCCTGGAGATAATTGAATTTAATACAGTGGCTGACTCCATTATCTCCCAGGCATAGGGGAGGATTGATCTATTTTGCATGGGACTGTCCTGGACCTGAGAGCCAATTGTGTGTGTGTGTGTGTGTGTGTTTTACTGTAGTCTACTCTCAGGTCCAGGGTGGAGTACCACTTGCATGTGGACCTGCATATAAGGTCAGTTGTGGCTACCATTAAACGGAGATTCGTTTTACCCTTCATTAAGCCTAGGATCATGTTTGGGGATTGGAGAGTTATATTCACTCTGGGCATTTCTATAATCCCTATACCCCCTTGGATCACAACAATTGCTCTTGTAAGAGCAGCTGGCTTTGCTGTCTGGACTAGGAGAGGTCTATCCAATGGAAGCTGGATCCTGGTCTTGGGTCCAGGGTGGGTGGAGCACAGCGAGACCCCAACCATGCTGCGGCGGTTTGTGGGGTTTACGGTGCTTATGGGGCTCGCAAGTACTAGGAAGCAGCGATTGACTGAGGTAGCCAGTTGGGGTGCCAGGCGGTCCATCACAGCATGTATCCATCAATCTATATATGTGACTGTGTATCTATCTGTGTATGTTTCTCTGTCTGTCTATATAGTGCTACCTCTATTTGTCATGGAAACATTCAGAACTGTGATTCTTTCATTCCACCGTCTCCTGCAGACACTTCTTTTTTCGAGGAACTTGGTGATTCTGTGGACGCTCTTCACGATTACGGCATTTCGGTGGCCAAGGTAAGTGTGTATTTAAATTCAAGGTCAGTGAGAAGAACTTGACTACGTTTGTCTTACTATTCATGACACCAATAGTCTAGTCATTCCCAGAATATCCTGTGTAATGTTAATGGCCACTGGGTTAGAGGCTCATTGAATTTATTTGCCACTGAATTCGGAAATTCCTTTCCTCGCTCCCACATTAAAAGATATGCTTTCCAACACTAACAACAGCACTATTATGGGCTTGCTGATAATTTAAACGGTCATCAACTATGACTGCACTCTGCTCCTTCTCTGTCTGCACTGAGGGTGGTTTATGGAGAGAGAGAGAGAGAGAGAGAGAGAGAGAGAGAGAGAGAGAGAGTGTGTGAGTGAGTGTTTTGAGGTGACTCAGTCGGTGCACTAACCCTCCTAATTTATTACACAATGAGGCTCGACCCTTCTCTAGCACTTTTTATTCATTCTGTCTCCCTCTCTGGCATTACTTCTTATTAAAATATTCAGCTTCTCTGGTTGGTGTCTTTCCTGATCCCTTTAAATCATCTCTGTCCTCTGCTTGTTTTTGGCTTTACATTCTTCATTCCCTGTGTATCTTAATGATTGTACTCCCTCCATTACTTTTTAAATTCTTTTTTTATTTGTGCAGACGATTAACAAGCATGTTTGCTTTGCCACAATAGCTGGAGCAAACCGGGTGGTACAAATAGAAAAACAACTGTATGGCATTGATAGCTTTGCATATCTTTTTTTAAATTGGGTAATCAGGATGAACATATATGGCTTAACATTGTGAGGTGCTTGTTTGGAACAGATTGCTTAATAAGTAAGCTTGTGAGGCAGACTTAAGTTAACGGTACATATTAGCTATCAGATACGCAGATTGCACATAACTTAGATTAAGGCTAGATCGGTATAGCACTGTGTGTGATAGACAGACACAATATGAAATAATAGCATTTTGGCCCCTCCATTACTTATTTATGTTGGCTTTTTTTTTTTGTGCGGCTTTCAATATCTTAGTTCTCCTCTGCCATAACGGCTGCTGTTTTTCTCCTTCTGTGGAATTGATTTTACTGATGGATTTTTGTCCCGTTTTGTCAACTTGATTGCTGTAAATAAGAAAAAGTAATTCCTGCTTTTATTTATATATTTTATGAAACCTCAGGTGTTAAGGGAAAATAAATAAAAAGAGATTCAGATAGAGGGAGATAAGACAGAGTTTACATTTTGTGACAGACCTGCTTTAAGCATGCAGCCATTACTCCGATCCTACAAAACGCTCAGCTACCCCCCACCTCCTGCTGCCCAAACTCTACCCATCCCAGTTTGTTTTTCGCACTCCTCACTCTATGAAATAACTCCGTTTAAGAACTCTTATTGGCCTTTCCACATTCACTCACAATGCCTTTATCTCTACGTCTCCCAGTGCTCTTTAGTTTATCTGCTTTTTTTTTGTTTTTCCTCCTCTCTGCAACTGCTCGTTGATGTTCTCCATCCCCTATGATTCCCATTTGTACTGCCTCCCTTCATAAATGAATTTGTTCCTTTTGCCTACAGTATGATGTTTATACTGACACTCTCCATCCCTTTTGACGTGTCTCCTGCTGCCTGTGTGCCATTTCTAAATAAATATCAACTCCGTTTCTTAAACTTAATCTCTTAACACAGAAATTTTCGTCTTCCTATCACTATGTCTGCCTCCCTCCAGATCACTCGTACTATTATTAACCTTACCCAATGGGCTCTCACAGCCTTATATTCTGTTATATCATAACCTCTCCTTTACTCCTTCCAGTCATTAGGGCCTTTCACCTTTTAATTTATAGCTTGTATCCACCCATCTGAAATCAAATGCATTGAAGGACTCCTCATGCCACAATCCTTCCCCATGTGGGGATATTTATGGGATAATAATAGTAAACAGTTGAGAATTGCCCACTAATTTAATTCTCAGATCCCAAATAACGTTTATCGTAAGTGAAAGTATTTCATATAAATAATATCATAATTTTTTTTTATAAAAATAGATTTTATTTATAATAATAATAATATGTAACATGCGTGACAATAATCAATGAATATTCAGTATAAAATGATATGCAATACAAAGGAACGGGTATTACGTTTCAATGGCTAAATAGCATTATCTGTCAAGACTTATTTATGACTATCTTTAACACAGACTGAAAGTGAAACTTTTCACAGCTAAGAACAGAATTCTTAAGAAACAGAGTGCAGCGTAAGGTCGTAAAGTTTAGCTGACAGTTAGAATAACCCTTTCAATGCTGGCTAGATCTCCTAGGTAATCAAGATCTATTCTTATGTAATTTTTAAATAAAATAACATTTAAACCAGTTCATTAGTCATTTCCTGGAACCATCCAATAAGAGAATCTACCATATTATATAAGCAGATTTTAATTTGTCTGAAAGATATCTTATCTTAATTTAGAGCAAATCAATACACCTGGATAAAACAGCGATATGCTAACACGTGATAATATCACATCAATATATAATTATTCTTAATTCCACCTGCAGAATGGAATGTTTATAACTATATATTCTTTAGTTAACTAAGATTTCTTAATATGGAAATCTGACCGTGCTTTATCCAGTCATATATAATGCTATTAATACATTTTAATTTAATTAATTAAATGAAACCAGTATAATTACCAAATTGAGTAGATATTTCATCCGATTGGTAGTCTCAGGAACTTATTTGGATGTCTCTCTGCATGGAGGTGTTGGTTAGAAAGTCAGTAAATTCTAAGTGTTAGAGTTTTAGGAGTAGAGTGTTAGTCTCAGATGTTGTCCGAGTTGGAATCCCCAAACTTCCAATTCCTCTCTCCTCTCCTTTGCATATCTTGCATCTGCCTCCTCTCGTGTCTCTCTATCTTCCCTTTGTCTTAACTTTTAAAGGGCCAGACTCTCTGTACGTCATCAGTTGATAACCACACCTCTAGTGCTTCTATTGGGTTATCTTCCAGATCGCAAATTAGGTATTTGGTCTATAGAGGGCAGTCTTGTCCCACTAAACATACCTATCCAGGAAAGAGTTAACTTTTCCTGGTGGCTATTTTGACGTCATTTTGCGTTATCTTTATAGTGCCATAATTTAACATTTCAAAGGGTTTCTTAAATTTTGTCCAGACTTAGCGTCTGCAATTCCTGCCATAATTTCTGATATGACAGATCATGAACTAAGTTTACCCTTTTCCATACAATGGTACCTTATATATATGTATATATATACAGTTAAATATTAAATTATTTAATCTTCTCTGTCACAATTGTCTGGGTTTAGATTTGATTATATTCCTCTTATCACTTGTTTATACTATGCATTCCTTAGCTCTGGCAAAGTGGCTAGTCTTACAGAAAGAATTTTGTGTCTTTTTTGTTAACTTGAAAATAACAAAATGGAGTCTGGTCTGTTCAGAGTGACTCAGAATATACACTTTTAGTTTCTATCATAGCACAAAATGTCTGCCGATATCTATACCCTGACACCCATATACATTGCGGCAGTGCTTTCTCATTGTCTAATATACTCCCAGCTCCAGGTGCTACAGCTTGTAATAAATGCTGCCACCAGATTCCCCTTCCTGTCCTCCTACGCCTCCACCTCTGGCAGTCCTTACATTGGCTTCCTGTAAGATTTAGGGCTCAATTTAAACATCTTCATATTTAACACAGCCATTGTCTATTTATACTCCCTAATATATTGACAGTATACAGTGTTCCTTTAATATACAATGCTTACAAAATGGTGAAATTCCCTTTAAAGCTAACCATCAATTATTGTCACTTGTTAGGTGAACTGTGGGAATGAAGATTCTCTGTATTACTGCACGAAGGAAATCGCTTGTCTGTTTCGGTATAGTCCTTTATTTATCTTTTATGAATCGTCCTTAAAATGTAAGGAATTGGACTTGCTAAATGTTTCAATCCTCAGTGATGATTACTTGTTCTGTTGAAATCTGATTGGATTTTTAAATAATTAGCTTGTATATTCCTATTCCTTTTACTCTAAATATTCTGACAATTCTATTTTCTAGAAAATAGGAAAATGCTGATTATTAATATCTTTTCTCCATCTAGAGGAACCAAACTTTTAAGGGAGTTCCCTACCGACACCTTGTTTGACGTCAATGCCATTGTCGCAAATGTTTTATTGTAAGTAAATGAACAATGTATGGCTTTATTTACAGTAGGTATCCATACATGTACAGGAATATAGACCGCCTGTCTGGCTTGGTAGAGTACAGGTTAAGTGTCCCTTGTGCTTGTCCTCCCTCTATTCTATTAAAGAATCCTCGAACCTCTGCTAGTCTTCTGAAACCAGCTGTGCATGGCTATAGCTGACAGCATGTCACCTGTATGGATTTCATTACAATACACGGAGGGGAGTATTATACGTCTTTCTTTACTCCCATGTTCGAACATAACTTAAATGGGAATACAGATAATATATATAGCTGATTTTATTTCATTCTCTGTACAGATATTATTCTTTTCCCGTGTGAATTGTTCCTCTTGTCTTCTATGTGAATCTTTGAGAAATGCTCATTTTGGCTCTGTTGAAATTTCACTGAAATTTCAACCCAGTATGGAGATATACTGAGATAAAAAAGTCAAGAAAGGAGGTTAGTGCTAATAATAAGAGTGGATGGGCAGCGGCCTAGCAGAGGGTAACCCTCTATAGTAAGAATAGAAAACAACAACAGTAATGCAAGGCTGCGCCAAAATGTATCCATGTGGAGTACAGATTGTAAAAAGGCATATAATTAAGACTTCTAATAGTTTAAAATAAGAAAATAGTCCAAAAATATTTTAGAAGTTGCACTGTGGCAATAGATGTCATTTAAGGTGCTTTTGGTGATGGGGTCTCTTCTCTGTCTATAGTAGTCCTAGTTGAAAAAGCCCTAGTGGCAAAACGCGTAACTGGTTTTATTAATTTGTGTATTTTATATAATTAAAGATTTTTTTTAGTTACTATCTGTGCCAACTATCTTTTTACACACTATTTTATTTATTTTCACCTGGCATCTAATTGATTTTACCACATGCTTACAAGCCTATCCGAGGTAGGGATCATACCACCAACGCTGTTACCATAGTGCAGTTGGCCTGCACTACACTTGTAAGTACATTTTTATTTATTTAAACAACTTTTACACCGTGTTAAACAGTGAGCACTATTAGTTGTTTTTATATATCACTTTTCCTGAGAGTTGGACACCTTTCCCTCCGGAGGACAATCATCCATATATCCCATAAGCGGGGATTGTTCCGCTGTACGCCTGTTATACCTGAGCTGGCTATAGCTCATTTAAATGTGAGTGGAATATTTATATCTTTATCTCACACTCTCTATACGATTGGTCTCTTATCTTGTGTCTTCCATATCACGAGACCAACAGGACTACTATAAACAGAGAAGAGACCCCATCACCAAAAGCACCTTAAAAGACATCTATTGCCACAGTGCAACTTCTAAAATCTTTTTGGACTATTTTCTTATTTTATTTCAAACTTTTCTAAGTCTTATTTATGTGCCTTTTTACAATCTGTATTCCACATTGATACATTTTGGCGCAGCCTTGCATTACTGTTGTTGTTGAGATAAAAAAGTGACTATTTTGTCTCTGAATATTTCTTATTCTTGACCATGGGGACTGTGACCGTGCTGCTTTAATCGTGATTTTATCTTAAAGAGCAACTGTCATGCCCAAAACTACTATTCCATCTATACATTGTGCTAGCAAGTTTGTTTTATTTTTTTGCAAACTTATTCGAAATACATATTTAAACTATATATATAATTTTTTTTTTTTTCTCCTAATGAGTCAATGAATTCTTATAAACTCTATAACGAACAAGGAGAGGAGAAGAGATGCCCCACAGGCAGTCCTTCTGCTCTCCACCAATAGCCACCATAGTGCATACGCATGCAATCTAAAATTCCTCGTAGGAATGAATGGAGGTCAAATGTGTCCAATACTAAATCTCGGAGAATACATTTTATTCTCAATCTGTTACTATTTCAAAATGGTACAGATTCATTGCCTAAAAGACATTCTAGAACATGCAGAACGAAAAGCCAAAATAGACTTAAAGGACCACTATAGTGCCAGGAAAACAAACTCTTTTCCCTGGCTCTATAGGGTCTCCAGACTGAAGGGGGAGGTAGGGGTTCAATTCTTGCCTATCTCCAGCGCTGGGCTCCCTTGGCGCTGGGGACTCTCCTCCTCCTTCCGACGTCAGCTCCGAATGTGCATGCGTGGCATTCAGTCAGTCCATAGGAAAGCATTCTCAATGCTTTCCCATGGACGCTGGCATCTTATCACAGTGAGAAGCGCGGAAGCGCCTCTAGCGACTGTCCGTGAGACAGCCACTAGAGGCTGGATTAAGCCTTATGTAAACATAGTAGTTACAGCAGGCAGGGTTAACCCTAGATGGACCTGGCACCCAGACCATTTCATTAAAGGACCACTATAGTGCCAGGAAAACATACTCGTTTTCCTGGCACTATAGTGCCCCCACCCTCAGGGTCCCCCTCCCGCCCAGCTCTGGAAGGGGGGAAGGGGTTAAAACTTACCTCTTTCCAGCGCTGGGCGGGGAGCTCTCCTCCTCCTTCTCCTCCCTGTCGGCTGAATGCACACGCGCGGCAAGAGCTGCGCGCGCATTCAGATGGTCACATAGGAAAGCATTATCAATGCTTTCCTATGGACGCTGGCGTGCTCTCACTGTGAAAATCACAGTGAGAAGCACGCAAGCGCCTCTAGTGGCTGTCTATGAGACAGCCACTAGAAAAAAAATAGGGGAAGGCTTAACCCATTCATAAACATAGCAGTTTCTCTGAAACTGCTATGTTTATGAAAAAATGGGTTAACCCTAGCTGGACCTGGCACCCAGACCACTTCATTAAGCTGAAGTGGTCTGGGTGCCTATAGTGGTCCTTTAAGACTCTCATTTAACAGTTTCAATTGCTCAAAAAACAAAACAAAATCTATTTCGATTTTCATGGAACAAGATCACAATTCACTTGCTTTCCCTTTGGTCATTGGCCTTAATAAGAGCTAAATTTCCGGGTTCTCTACATTACAGGGCACTTCAGGGTCTGAAAACGCAAGCTCTGCATCAAGGAAAATGTTATTCTGATCTCCTAACACTCTATGAAGCGGCTAGCAGCTAGAACAGGCACCAGTTATTCTAATCTATCAGATGCCAGCAAAGCTGGCTGGGGCGCACATTTATCCAGTAAAGGAAAATTATCGAAGGGAAGTTGTACTTCACGTAAGCTTTCTAGATTTAGTAGTGGGCCTGAAATGTTTTCAAACACCATTCGGACTGTTCGGTTATCGTTCGGATGGACAATATTCAGCTGTTTGTCACGTGAGTTATTTGGGAGCCTTTCAAATCAAAGGATATAGTGAATTTGGCCAAATAATTTTGGCAATTTTTGGTTTTGAGCACAATATTTGTGCTCCAATATGTGCGCAGATTGTTCCCCTGATATGTCAAACACCATTGCTGACTGGCATTGGAGATATTGATCAGATTACAGCAACTGGAACAATTCCCCTAAAAATTAGACTTTAACACCTTCCCACGGACGTATCAGGTACATCTGGCAAAAAATGGTCCATAATGACCTTGGACGTACCTGGTACGTCCGCAGCTATTTTGAGCGCTGGAAGCTCTGATAGTATTGCAGTGATGCTCTGCATGTGCCTTGAGGGGTCCTGGCACTCAGTGTGTGTATATATAATAATATATATTAAAAAAATAAATAAATATATATATTATATATATATTATATAAAATAAATAAAATGATCAATATTAACCCTCCCTTTCTAAAGGCAGTGAATCATGGGGCTTGTGGGGGTGTCCCTAGCCTGCCTCATCATAAGGGGCAGGCTGGGGTCATCCAATCACAGCTTGCCCCATTAGCAATTTCATCCCAAGTGTGTTCCCCATTTCTCTGATTAGTGTGGATCTGCCTCCCTCTCTTCACTTGTGTTTTAGTGAGAGAGGGAGAGAGATCTGTGGTTTAGCTAGAGAGATTTAGGTATTTATAGGTAGGGATTTGTAAAATCTTGAGACCCAAAGGCTCTTTTCAGAGCCATTAACCCCTGTCTTGCCAGTGATCACTATAATCACTGGCTCTTGCACAGCAGCACTTTTCTGCTGTTTGTGCATTTTTTTTAGGGGTTCATTTTTTTGTGATTTTTTTTTTTTTGAGACCCAAAAGCTCTTTTCAGAACGATTAACCCCTGTCCTGCCAGTGATCACTATACAGATCACAGGCTCTTGCACAGCAGCACTTATTTTGCTGTCTGTTCATTTTTTTTAGGGGTTATTTTTTTTTTTTTTGTGACAGGTCACTAAGTAAAGTGATTGTGATCATGTCACATGGGTCACGGAAGTCAACCAGCGCTGAGCAGTCATATGCCACCCTTGCGCTAGAGTCTGACGCGTCTATGTCAGACTCTGACCCTGATTTTGACCCAGCCAGGTGCTCAGATACATCATCACTAGATACAGTGTCTGCTGCTAGTGATGTATCTAGTGATGTTGTATCTGTGCCTGCTAGTCCCCCTGCCAGAAGGAGACGTGCTGCTCCAGCTGGCAGAACTGCTGAGGAGTGGGTAGTGCCTCATCGCCAGAGGCCAGACATCCCATCCTTTACTGCAAATCCTGGCATTAATTTGGATGTCACAGGATTTAGCTCTCAGCAGTTTATGGAGGTGTTTCTGGGCGATGATGTATTGGGGAACATTGTCGCCCAAACTAATTTATTTGCCCATCAATTCTGAGCTACAAATCCCGACTCTTCTTTGGCAAAGCAGCAATGGGCCCCCATCGATGTGCCAGAATTTAAAAGATTCTGGGCATTGACTATGCTGATGGGCATCATAAAGAAGCCCTCCATCCGCTCCTACTGGAGCAGTAGCCCCATCTGCTCTACCCCCATTTACTCCCAATGTATGTCGAGGAAGAGGTATGAAATGATTCTGCATTTCATGCACGTCAGCGACAACAGCCTGTGTCCCCCTAGGAAGCATCCCCAGTTTGACAGGCTGTATAAAATCCGTCCCCGGATTACCCACTTCGCTGCCAGGTTTGCAGAGGCTTATACACCTGGAAGGAATATATGCGTGGATGAATCCCTGATGAAGTATAAGGGAAGGCTGGGATTCAAGCAGTATGTTCCTTCCAAGCGCTCCAGGTATGGTGTAAAGATGTATAAGCTCTGTGATAGCAATACTGGGTATACTCAGGCCTTCCGGGTGTACGAGGGAAAGGATAGCCACCTTGACCCTCCAGGTTGCCCAGAACATATGGGAACCAGTGGCAAGATTGTCTGGGACCTGATATTCCCCCTGATGAACAAAGGGTACCACTTGTATACTGACAATTTTTATACAAGTGTCCCTTTGTTCAAGCTACTGTACTGTTTTGATACAAAAAAGAACAGCACAGGTTTCCCAGGACAACTTGCACGCACCCGGCTACGAAGGGGGGAGACCTCAGCTCTGTGCCAAGAGGAGCTGTTGGCAGTTAAGTACAGAGACAAGAAGGATGTGTACCTTCTTACCAGCATCCTCACTGTGGGGACTGTGGAGGTCCCTGTACGTGGCAGAGCACAAGGAAGCCAGTGTGCATCAAGGCCTATATTACTAACATTACTAGCCCCAACTGTGGTTTCCACAAATGCTGGAGTTGGCAGTAGATTTTTCTGCCGTTTATGGATCTTACTCGTCATATATTGACAAATCCAGAAAGCAAAGTCTGGTTAATGTCAGGAGATCTGCAACAGGTGGAGAACTTGTGAACACAAAAATCCAGGGCTCTGGGAACTCGAAAATTGGACCACAGTGTATGGGCTCTTGTCTAGTTGTTTACAGGATTACTTATTAATCATAAATAAGATGGAGGGGGGCAGGGGCGGACAGTGAGATATAACAGACCCTGTAGTAAATCACTGCCTTTACCTGCTGGGCCTTCTATGGCCAGTTAACTGCGGTCAGACTGAAAACCCTAAACTGCACTGAGTGAGCCATCCCTAAACAGCACAAAGTCCAAATACTGTCAATAAGCGACACAAGGCCGAACAATGAGAGCAGTGTCCAGCAGGGGAAGACAGTGATTTATTACAGAGTCTGTCACTACCGCTGTGTAAAGTCTGTTGGTCACTTTCTTTTCCTTTCTCTTCTTTATACTGTGATTAGTAATTCTGTGTATCTGTCTCTCTGTACAGTTTTATTGTACACATTATTAGATCTGTTTATTTCTATTTTATGTTCGGCTTCCGTTTGGATCTTTTTATCTGATTTATACAGGGACAATGTAGACTCAGGTATCCTAACACTTAATATGTTTCTACTTGTGATGCTACTATTTAGGAATAAAGCAAGAGTTGTTGTTGTTGTTGTTATTATTATTCTTTCCTTCGTGTCTTTAATAAAATCATGACTTTTCGACAACCCTGGCCAACAGCTTTTTGTTTATTATTTTTTCTCCTACGCCTGCGGTCTGTGTGTCAGATGCAGTATGGACAAATGTAATGATGTATATAAAAAAAAAAAAAAAAAACCCTCTCTGTCTCATTAGAGATCTTTGCCAGAAGCTCAAGGAAGCAAGGTGAAGGGTCAGAGTAGGACCCGCTTAGTGGGGTCAGCCTTGACGTTGGCCATTGGAGCAACTAAATTACCTCCATTTGTCTAAATATACATAGGGATTAAGGAGAGAGCGCAGGTAACTTTTTTCTTTTCTTTGGTTTTTACTATATATTGGGGCCCAGTAGTGATGGGAGTGAGTGCAGGACTTCTCTTTTTGTAAATGTCAATGATTACCTTCACTGTGTGTATTGTATATTGTAAAGGTAACCTAACACTCACAGCTACTCTGTTTCTTTCAGTGTCCTGCTTTATAATGAAATGAAATATATAACGTCTACCTCAGAGTTTCAGGACATAGAGAGCAACATGAAAGGAAAAAAAGACGTGGTTTTCGTCTATGTGCGAGCTATCGGCATACCAGGTAGTGAGAATCTTGTTGCTGCTATTCATGATTCTTTGATTTTTGTGTTTTAGCTGTGTGCCTGAAAGGTGAGTTGTTAGTCTGTAGCAGCCTCCTGTCTGTGACTAAAGTTCAATTGGCTAAGCAGGGAAGCATAACATCTAAAATAAACACAGTGTGCTGTAAAATCTTTGGCCACAGAAGGAACGGTACGCCTTATAAATATACTGCAGTATAACCTCATTGGCAGACTCCATTCACGTCTGCTGCTTACATTTAGAACCTTTTTACTTTATCTCCATCCCCTAATTACTAAATTCTGTTAAATCCTTTTTACCATTGCGTTGGGGAGACCCATGCATTCCCAGACTTTGACAATCACAGTTCTGAACAACACTGAGAATTGAGGGATTGGAATGATTAATATGTGCATTGAGTGGACTCCCAGCCCAAAACTAGTCTGTCTTGAAATGGGGATTCAGCCTGCACAGAAAGTACATGACATTCTACATTGAATACCATCAGAACTGACCTGACATTCTGCTATTCCATTAAATTTATAGTGTAACGTTAAATGAACGGCCGTATTTTGTATCTCTCTTGCAAACTTTTAGTGGTGGTGTAGGGGTGTACAGATTGCTATACACACATTTATTATGATCACATCTTTTTCTGTACCCTCCTAGAACATGCAGTTCCATCAATATTTAACTTGGAATGATATTGTCCGATATCTTTCTGATTTTTTTTTTTTATTTTATCAATTAAAGAAAAGGTTGTCTTATTCTCGTTTAAATCCATGAAATGTCTTGCTGTATTTCTGTTCTCAGAACACAGAGCTGTCATGGAAGCCGCCTTTGTTTATGGATCTCTATACCAGTTTGTGTTAACGACTGAAACTTCTTTACTGGAAAATATAAGGTAAGTTTGTATTTCAGGGGGATAATTCTTTTCAGGTGGAGAAATGTAAAAGCAATATGTGCTAGATCTGATTGAGAGACTAGTACAGGTTTCAGTGACTATATTGTTGGTTCTCGGCAGTAGATTAACTGGGGGGATGTGACCCCCATGCATAGAATTGAATTTATTAAACGTAATATGGAGGTGCTAAATAAATAGGGAGTCAAGTAAGTCATCCTCAAAATTGTAATTATTTAATCCTATAAATAAAGTACCATAAAATGTCAACTGCGATTAAACACAAATAACATAAATTCTAGTATCCTGTGGTTTTATTCTTAAAGGGACACTCCAACTTGCCGTGTGTGTATATAATCGGAGTCATGCATGGTTTCCGTCTGTTCTATAATAAATCTGCCTAGGTTCCTTACTCGTGTAATGTTCTATTCACATTCCTCTTGATATCTCTGCCTTGAATTTGAAGGAATGGCAGATTTGTTTAAAGACCGAATCGGGAAAATGTTTCCCATTTTAGTTGATCTCCCTTTTGGTACATTTCCACGTTTTCCAGATTAGCGAATAAACAGCATAGTCATTTAAGGAGGGATGGCACTACCTCCACAGCAACAATGGAAAACGTAATACTATATATTCACCACAACCACTGTCACATAAAGTACCTTGAAACAAGAGCTGGCCAGCGCTGGCTTGGAAGACCTCATTAATAAGCTGCATTTGAGTATTACAGTGTTTTTGTGGCAGGGTACGATTTCCACTTTCTAACCGTTACAATTTAATTTATGAATCTTGTACCCCAGTCATCTAATGTAAAATGTTTAATTCCCTGATATGTTCCCACAGCCTAATTGTATGATTGAGCTCATATAAAGACTGTCTTACTCAAACTCCTCCAGCAGAGGTCGCTGCTCTGTTTATTTAAATAGGATTCATAAAGGTTTCTCTCGTTTTGCAGGAATATTCAGTGAGGGTTTGCTTCTCTGCAGCCATTTGGCGACAAGTTGGTAATCGCTAAAATGGCCGCTGCTGGCGATTACTGTCTGTTTCCATGCTAAATGGTAAAACCACCATCTGTGACTTACTAACAGAAACCTATTCTAGTTTCCACCTAGAAACCTAAATCACATTTATTCCACCAGTTATCACCTGCTGTCCTTAGTATTTTCAATATATAGTTATTTCTTCTATTTTCCATTTGCAGCCGTGGAAGATCAGACTTTGTTCCTGCAAAGCTCATTTATTGTCATTGCAAAGCAGTAACGAGCCCGACCCACGAATGTCAGAGATCTTCATCCGATCAGCCTTTGAGTACCTTGAATATCCATCGCTTTCTGAAACTCATGAATGCACCGCTTGTTGTACGTATGGAACTTCGAACACTGTCTGTATCGTTTCCTGGAGGGTAATCTCGTACAAACGTGGTGCCAGCACCACCCCTGGGGCTACAACACTGACAGGGTCATTTACTAAAATATGAATTGTTGGAAATCAAGCAAAATTCATTTTCTATTTTTATTTATTTTATTTATTGCTTTTACATTTTTACAAAATACACAAATTACATTAGTAGACATTTAGTATAGTGTCACATACTTTATATCAGACATGCAGAACAGGTCACTGGCCAGCTGGGGGTGTTATTTAGAAGTATTTCTAGCTGGTATTTAAATAGTGGGATTATTCAATCATGCACAATTTAACATTTCAGAAGTAGTTGAACTAGAAGAATAGTTGACGTGGAGATTTTTTTTCAAGTTGAGCTTTTTTGGCTCTAAATTTCAAATTCCCTTTGAATTCCCAATAATTGTCACTTTAGGTAATAACCCTGTATGTGGAGAGTTTGTATCATTAATCCCATGAAATGAAAGCAGCTTTGATATCCAGATAATACGTAACAAATTCTGTAATGCAATCTATACATGGGCTAGTGAGTGTTCAAAGAAAATATACAGTAAACATTCTATTTACGATAAGTCGCCATGTTACACTCAGATGTGGCTGTGCGAACCCATGTGATCTCACTCCATGTGCTCGGCATTGTGGGAATCTGCACTGAGCATTGTGGGAGGAGATGATATTTAAAAGAAGAAAAACTACCACAACAAGAGGACAGAGGTTTAAAAATAATATCAGGAAGTATTACTTTACTGAGAGGGTAGTGGATGCATGGAATAGCCTTCCAGCTGAAGTGGTAGAGGTTAACACAGTAAAGGAGTTTAAGCATGCGTGGGATAGGCATAAGGCTATCCTAACTATAAGATAAGGCTAGAGACTAATGAAAGTATTTAGAAAATTGGGCAGACTAGATGGGCCGAATGGTTCTTATCTGCCTTCACATTCTATGTTTCTATGTGACCTCACTCTGTACTGTGAACATGTTAGAGCTATTCTATAACAAAACATTTAAATTGACTTGTAATTCAGCAATGAAACAGGCCAATCTGCTCACAATGTCGTTAAAGGACCACTATAGTGCCAGGAAAACATAATTGTTTTCCTGGCACTATAGTGCCCTCAGGGTGCCCCCACCCTCAGGGTCCCCCTCCTGCCGGGCTCTAGGGAGTGGAAGGGGTTAAACTTACCTCTTTCTTCAGCACCAAGCGGGGAGTTCTCCTCCTCTCCGCCTCCCTTCCTCCTCCTCTGCTGCATGCGCGGCAAGAGCCGCGCGTGCATTCAGCCAGTCTCATAGGAAAGCATTCACAATACTTTCCTATGGACGCTGGCATCTTCTCACTGTGATTTTCACAGTGAGAAGCACGCAAGCGCCTCTAGCGGCTGTCAATGAGACAGCCACTAGAGGCTGGATTAACCCTATTATAAACATAGCAGTTTCTCTGAAACTGCTATGTTTATAGAAGAAAGGGTTAATCCTAGCTGGACCTGGCACCCAGACCACTTCATTAAGCTGAAGTGGTCTGGGTGCCTATAGTGGTCCTTTAAGCAATATTTAATCAAGGCCTCATAGAAAAACATTTGGGATATACAGCGTGCGGGAGGTCAACATTGAAAGATCCTTGGCCACCTTGTAGCACTAGCATTGGAGTTCACACAGGACCAAGTGCTGCACTCTGACTGACACGGCTACAAACTCCACCTTAAAGCTCTGCAGGGAGCAACTAAAGAGCATGTAATGCTGCAGGGACATTATTAGAGCACCACAATCACTTTAGAAGTCCTTTTTAAATGTTACTGTAACTAGTATCTCCATCTGGGGGATCCACTGGGATTTATTTTTATTTTTTTTATAATTCTTTATTTTTGTAGTGCTTGTTTCTGACAATTTTTATTGTTTTTAATATTAACTAGGCTGAAGTGTCTGGAGATCCTGATAAATTCACCAGTGTTCATATCCAGCTTGGCCTACCACTGGTCTTCATTGTCTGTGAGAAAGAGACGTATGACGCAGACAGAGAAACCGCAGAACATGTTGCCTGGCAGCTGCTGGGGAAGGCGGGGGTGGCAACATTATCTAGGTATTTACGGTATATGTAAATATAAATATTGAATCCCACGATGAAGAGCCCTCAATGGACTTTTCTGCTGTTCAGTTTTATTTATTAACATACTTTTCACATCGATGTTTCAACCCAATCCCAGAATTCCCTGCTCACTTGTCTTTTCTGCTATTCAGTTTTATTAATTAATACATTTTACATATCGAGGTTTCCGTCCAATCCCAGAATTCCCTGCTCACCGGGCTTTTCTGCTGTTCAGTTTTATTAATTAATACATTTTACACATCGTTTCCGTCCAATCCCAGAATTCCCTGCTCACCTGGCTCTTCTGCTGTTCAGTTTTATTAATTAATACATTTTACATATCGATGTTTCCATCCAATCCCAGAATTCCCTGCTCACCGGGCTTTTCTGCTGTTCAGTTTTATTAATTAATACATTTTACACATCGATGTTTCCGTCCAATCCCAGAATTCCCTGCTCACCTGGCTTTTCTGCTGTTCAGTTTTATTAATTAATACATTTTACACATCAATGTTTCAGTCCAATCCCAGAATTCCCTGCTCACCGGGCTTTTCTGCTGTTCAGTTTTATTAATTAATACATTTTACACATCAATGTTTCAGTCCAATCCCAGAATTCCCTGCTCACCGGGCTTTTTTGCTGAAACACGGCTTCTTAAACCAAAACGAACAACATGGCGCTAGCTCTGATCAACGAGTTGTACGCTTTCTGTCAATATTTCTGGAAATATGATTTCTTAAACTTACTGATGCTTGCTTGATGACAGATCTACTTGAATAGGTGCCTGCAGTATCATTAGATCTGTATATGGGATCCTACAGTCTATGTAAGCAGATTCACCCTGACAAGAACAGCAAGACTAGAAGATTCCGAGTTTTGTAAAGCAATTCATGTAGTAAGAGCTCATTTATTTATAAAGGTTAATATTCATACTTATCTGTAAAAGATCAAGGTTTTGGAGAAAGAGAGAACCATTTTAGAATGATAGGTCATTTAGTAATGGAATTCGTAGAAAAAGAAGCAAAAAATGACTGACACTTCTATATGTACTGCGCGTGTTAGTGTGTGTGTGTGTGTGTGCACCTGCATGCCAAGTTTTGTGTCTTTATTCAGGTAACATTTATAGTTTTATTTATTTATTTTTGTAGCCCAATTCTAGATAAAGTTCTGAAAGTGGAGCAGTTATTGGTTTCCATGGTGACTGCTCACTTTAGATCTTATTCATTATCCCCAATTTGTGTAACTCTTGGTTTGACAGCTGAGGGGGTCTTAGGACACTAGGGAGGTCTAGAATGTTTCTGTATATAGGGAATCATGCTAATTCGTTTTCTGTATTAAGGGACACGTCTGGCCCATACATCCCGGGAAATGTTAATGTGGGTGTGAAGACTGTAGAAGAGGTAGGTGATTTAGTAACTGTAACCCTTTCTATGCTGTACTGCAGAGCTCCTGTCACCTTACCGATAATCCAGGAGCTGCCAGCATTTAGGCTAAAAACAATCCAATACAATGGCACCATGTTACAAATGGTTATTTCCCTCCCTGTGCTGTGTATTTGCATAAAATACTGAATAATGATGCCACATGAATAACTGGACGTTCTCTTCCTTAAAAGGATGTTCCCATCCGATACTTGCTTCTAGACGAATCCCAGGAAATAATAGACCTCATCGAAAATACTAAAAACCAGAAAAATGAGGAATCTGCAGAAAAACACATCCATGGCGATCAAGGTAATACTTGATAGAGCGTTTTCTTTTATCTTTCAGGATATTTGTTAGAAAAAACAAATCTGCTGTAGCTCTAAAATTATTATTATTATTATTATTATTATTATTATTATTATTTGTAAACTTTTTATGATAGCATTGTGTGCACCCCTGGCAGTTAATTGGCCTTTCAGAGACAGCACTAGCAATTTAGGAGCCCAGACTAAAGTGCTTCATCTTCGCAAGCTTCCCATGTGCAGGTATGTTCCTCTGAACACTGCCAAGATTAGAGCACGATTGGGTATTCGACAACTCGGCTAATAGTCACTGCTCATCGGTAATAACCATCTATGAAACACAGAAATCCAATGGAATAAAGAAAAATGAGCTGATTTGAGCTATAATCAGAGCCTTTCTGGTTTTGCCTAAAGTTTGTAATTTGATTTTTGTTCAATTCAGGTTTAGTGAATAAACCCAGCAGTGTTATTATACAGAATTCAATCCGATCAGTTAGTGGAGCATTCGTGGAAAGCTTTTGAGGTGGATCACAAATACTGTGTCATCCTGGATGGATCTACATTTATTATCGTCAGTAATTTACATTCAACAGAACCGTCCAATTCAGATTAGTATGGATCTACAAAGTCTACACCGGTCTAGTGTCCGCCATTCAGTTTAGAAGATCCTGTGTTTACTTTACGTGTTGTCTGTATGTAGTCATAAGTTTGAGAAGACATTCCATGCAATATGCCAGTCATAGAATATTTGTAGATAACTGGAAAACCATTTAAAGTTTCTATTTCTTGTCATCATTAATTGATTGAGTCAGTGTCGTTGTATTCTTATGTATATACTGTGTGTAAATATTTAACCTTGGCATTCTTCTCTCTCCCGTAGAGACTCAAGATGACGAAGTAGCTGAAGCTGTATACAGAGACAGGAAGCGGGTGCTGCCCCTGCACTTAGTCCCTTCCCTAACAGCAGAAACATTCAGGATGATGGTGACCAGCAAACCTCACTCAATGGTTCTGTTTTACGCCAGCTGTACGTATGTTCCCTAAATCTTTCTATCTGAAAACACAATGAAATAATAATCTGCTGCTTTACTGCTTGAAACAGTCCCTTTCCTGGTGGAAATATAAGAAAAATTAATGTGAACTGGTTACCATGGAAACAATGCATTGCCCATTTTTTTTCTATAAATGAAATGGTTTCCCTTTATAATATTAATGGGATAAACCAGACCATCTAAGAATATTACTAATTTTTCCCAGTTATATCTGGAATATCGTGTAAAATAATGTGTCTGATCACATGCAGGTTGAGAAAAAAAAAAACGTAATGCTAAGCGTTGGCAAATACTGGGGTCTAGATTTACAATGATCATAGATTGGGTCAACTGGATGAAGTGAGTAAATGGGCCACCGCCTGTGGCAGCATGGTAGGTAGCCCTCCAGTTAGAAATTGACAGTAGTTACAGGTAGGGACTGCCTCCGCATCCTAGGCCATCCAATTTGGTAGGATGCAAAGAGAGTCCCAACACTGGAGCTTCCTTTGCATTGAACTTCTTCAGTACCACTCAGTTACATTCCACAATTCCTTATCATGGAGTAGCCGGGTGACATGTCCCAGCAAGACCCTCCATCTCAGGGTGGCTCGAGAGGACAAGGAGATGCCCTCAAAGTTCTACGGGTCTGTGCTTCTGGCCACTCTCATTATGGCTAACTTATTTTCCTAAAATACAGTCGATTGTTTTAAGGGTTGGTACCTACCCGGACTTATTGCCGGGTGACCATTCCACCACTTAAATACTGAATTAGTAGGGCGACTTATTGTGAATTTGCGTTCTTTTACCATCTTGTTTGGTTAAATAATGCATACTATAAGACACTGTGACATGACTATTATCTTCTTGTCTCTGTGTTCTACTTCCTTAAACCCAGTACCTCTGTGTAAGCTTTATTTCAGGAACTCTGCCAGTTTCTGTATTTAATGCAATATTGAACTCTTTTGTTGCTTTTTTTTTTTTATGGAGACCTGTGTGTCCCGTTACCTGCTGCTTTGTTCAGTTTTATACTCCTTGAAAATTTTCTGTAAATAATGAAAATTTTACAAAAAAAACAAAATTATTTACCATGTGGGACAGGTGAATAATGACGTCACAGGAGCATTTGGACTTCGCTCCTGGTAAGTTGGAGACTGTAAAGAGCCCACCTGAATGGTGGCAGTAGCATGGCGCAATAGCCTGGCCGTGAATAAACGGTTGATATAAGTTGGCAAGTTGGCAGCAGTGATAGTCAGGAATGCCTCGGATCTTAATGTGTTTGTGGCGACTGCCATGCCCACAAGTCCCCTGAAGGCCAGATCAGGTGTCAGTCGTTTCAGTGTGGTTCTGCTTTCACACGGCCTCCAAAGTAGTGTAGCTTTTTCCGGACCTTTCCCACCTCTGTCGCTAATAGTTGTTTCAGCTTCCTAAGAATAGTCTTAATGTCTCTTTCTGGAGGGGCTCCCAACTGCTTAAAACCGCTTCCCATGATGGTAATTATCGGATCGTGTAAATAAAGTGGCAGTTACTTTAATAAGAATAGACTTTGGGAAAGCTGTAGGCTGGAGCTCACTTGTGGCACGGCTTGTCAGCCACAGTACTCGCACCGTCCCCTGTGTTATGGCATTTTATGATTCACAAGGCACTAGGATGTTCTGCATCACATGGCAATATAAACTGGAAAATGACAAGTTAAACTCCATCACAAAATTAATTGCTAACCCTAATGTTCCCCTCTCCCCCCCTACCAAATAAATCTAGGTATAAAGTAAATATGTAATGACAGCAGTTTAGCGTTTTTATTTTAATTATTGCCACTATGTTTTTAATCTGTAAATGTTTTTTAAACTGTGATTATTATCTTCCCATAAATGTGATTATATATATATTTTTTTATTTTTTTTTCTAAGGGGAAACTGTATCGCTGACATTTCTGCAGTCCGTTCTACAAATGGCTGAAAAATATAAAGGTTTGTATACTTTATGCCTGTGGTTCAACGTCTTTACAATTTCATTATATTCTATCAATCCAAAGGGATTATTTTTAACCCTTCCAGCAGAAAGCCTATTGTTGATTGTAGATGGCATGGCAGGGTTCAGGGATTGTGGTCCTAAGAAGTGTCCCTGATTTGGGCCGACAGAGTGAAGTGCTGCACAGACATTGGTAAGAGGTCCATTTTGACCCAGCACAGTGCGCATAGGATCTAGGGAATGCATAGCATGCTTTTGATATGGTAGCAAATCCTGACATTCACTGCATCACCTGGGACCTAGACTGAAGTCTGTAACAGCACAATCACAGGCCTCCTCTCCCTCACCACCATAACACCAGGATTTGTTCCTCCATTCTAAAATGGTGTAAATGGGAAAGCCTCACAGAATATACTTCACACAATGTTAGCGGGGCACTTGGTTCACTGATTGCAGGAATCTCCGACATCTGTATCATGAAATGGCTTTGTTCTAAATATATATATATATATATATATATATATATATATATATATATATATATATATATATATATATATATATATATATATATATATATATATATATAATTCGCAACTGAACACCAGCTACTTGTGTCAGTGCTCTAATTGCTAAAAAACAGCTAACGTATCAAGAGAGACTCCAGGGGTCTGGGTCCTAGTGTGACTCCTAATATTATTTAAGTATTTCCGTTCAGACTACTGTCTGATTTGTCTCTGACATTGTGATAAGCATTGTGTTTTTCTTTATATATTTTTTCTCTATTGTTGTAATAATATTAATATATCCAAACCAGTATGCTGCACGGAGGCCGATGATAAACCGAATGCATGTGGCAGGATGCTTTTTGCCAGTTAATTGATAATTGGAAGAACTGTTTGCCCGCTGGAAGCGTTAGTAGCTACTGACAGTTTAAAAAAAAAAAAAAAACCTTGTTGATAAGACGGTTAATTATGTGAGTGCCATAAGAACCGTATGAAGACCTATATTGCTATAATGGAGGTTGTAAATCTGTGCCCCCAACTTCCATCCGGCGGGTGATGCATATCTGTTAAACAATAAATAGTAATGATGAGTTGAGGCCTGTAATATAGCAGGGGGTCATAGTCTCACCAATGGGCATTGAGTGGGGGCTACTTAAAATTTAAAGGTGAGGGGGAAAATGTTTAGACTTTTTTTGTTTGTTTTTATCCAGGTTCTGAGTTGCAGTATCCGTGCCTAGATTTAATTCATTCGATACAGATTTCAGCCGTCCAGCGGCGTTTGGTTCGGCTGACATCCAGCCAAAATTAGACTCGTTCGAGGCCTCCATTATAAAATCCAGACATCGATCAATTCCATCAGCAACGTCTGGATTTTGCAGTCCGAATGGCATTGTATGCAGTGAATGGTTTTACCCCATTCAGTCTTTAGTGAATCTATATATTAATAATTCTTTGTATGTGTGTTTAATTTCAATATCAGTCATGGAGTGCAGTAATATTTAAGCATATTGTGTATGTATATTTTTTTAAATATATTTTTGACCATATTAATAACGTCACAAGGAAATTGCTCATAAAAGACACAATGTAAAATCCCTGCTGGCATTAAATCTGCAGCGCAGAATCCTAATAAGACGAAAACTAGAATTCATAAAAACAAAGTATCTGAAGAATGTTCTGATCGTTATAACCAAATCCGTGGAGTTTGTTTCCTGATGACCGCGATGGGTTTAGTGTTCAGTACGTGCTTGTGATCTCTGGGTTTCTGCCTTTAAGCAGCTTGTTTATCTCTAAAAGTGTTAATTGAAATTCTTTTTTTACAAGATTAGCAAATATTTAAACCTCCTAGCCATTATGCGTGACAGGTTTGCTCTGCAGTAATTAGACAGTAAGGGCGAGATAATCTATAGATTTACTGCTCTTGGCTTTTAGATGCAAAAGAGGAGTACAGTGGAAATGCCACATATTACGCTGACTCCTGTAATATTATCTTACTGACTGCATGTTTACTTATTTTATTTCAATATCTCACACTTTTTAATGTTGCAGGAATTGTAATTAAAGGGACACTCTAAATACCAAAGTAACTTTAGCTTAAAGGTTTACTCCAAGTACCATGACCAATTCAGTAATGTAAATGGGTCCTGGTATCTAAAGTCTGTATGAGCTATGAAACACTTTACTTACAAAGTTTAACTACTCTGTGGTTGGGGGTGTAACTCCACCTCTGGCAGCGGCATTGGGATGTCATCTGCCAGCCCAGAAGTAGAGTAAAATGAATTGTGCAGAATCTCTCCGCCAATGAATGGCTGCGGTTTCTGGCTTGTGCAGCTCTGTATGAATTAGACGCATGTCGCCAAACCACCAGGGAGCCTCTGAACCCAACAGCAACCATAGTAAGTAAGAGGGGATACTTATCTCAACCAATACAGTGAGCTCTTAAAAGAATAAGCCAACCAAAAGCCAGAGCTTTGAGAAAACACTGTTTTTGGTTAGGTTAACCCTTGCTGTGCTGGTTTTTAATGCTCTATAATTAATTATAAACAGTTAGGTTGAGGTATGGTCTAGCCTTTAACAGCTAAAGGGGATTCATAAAATTTCCTTATTACATATAGTGCTAGAGCTAATTGATAGAATAAATATTTAAAAATCTTACTACTGCTATAGACCAAGAAAACGCTGCCATATACATCTAAACAATAAATTTAAACAAACTGCGTTAATGGCCGGTGTCTGTATTTGTCTTCTCTACCCTTGTGGCTGGCATCTAGGCATGTGCATGGGGAAAATATTCGGCATTCCGATATTCGGGACTTCGGAACTCCAGCATTTCGGGACTTTTCTTGCAGCCGCTTGGTAACTCCCTAATTCCCACGGTATTGGGGAGTTATCTACCAAAAGGCTGAAATACCTAAATTGGTCTTTAAGCCAAATTTACTAATACTAAGTAAAGATTACTTAGTATTAGTAAATTTTGCCCCTACTCGCTATACCGTGAGTAGGGGCATGTCTGGTAAGCAGTGAGCAGCCACAGGCTGTTTAAAAAAATAAATAAAAAAAAGTTTAAAAAGGCGGGAGGACCTATTGTCCTCCCCCCTGGCTCCCACCCCTGAGGGGTGGGTGGGGGCCCTAAAGTAAAAAGGGGAAGTTTAATTCGGACCGAAACGAATTGCACATGTCTACTGGCATCTACCTTTGCACTGTGTCCACTAGACTCCATTAATAAGACCCACAAGTAAATCCCGGGTCAATCGATTGATTAAAAGGAATTGATTCAGACAAACACAAGTCTAGGGATCACTGTTCTGTGATAGGTGCAGCTAGGATGAAGTTTTGTTTAAACTGTTAGATACACAGTTCTGGGAATAGAAACTTCTAAAAAAATAAAGAACCTGTCCTGCTGGTCACATGACATCTGTTAATCTCGTAACTAACCAGTTTTCAGCAACAAAAAATGTCACTGAATGCATCGGTCATGTTATCTATTCTGTCTGTAGTATCAAGATGTGGTGTGTCTCTGCACTGTGAATACAGGATCTCTATCTCTAGTTGGACTTTGTAAAGTCCCCCTTGGGCACAAACAGCAGGTGCACAACAGTAATCTCTCTAATTGCACTGTAGGGCGCATTACTGTGTTTGGTGTCACCACAATCCGTTTGGCACCTGCCTTTGAAGCTATAGAATAGTCCTCTTTTTATATATAATCATATAGATCGTTCTAGATGTGTAACTATATAAGATATGGTTATATTTTGTGTGCTAGTGGTTTTACATTTTAGACGTTTGCATTGTGAAGCCATTATATATATTTATATATATTTTTTAATTTTTTTTTCCCATTATGTTCCAGATGCATTGGACGTGAGTTTGGGAAGAGTAAACTGTGCCGATATGAATGATCTCTGTAATGAACAGAACATCACTGACATTCCTATTGCCAAGATTTACCAGTCAGGAAATGACCCCCTGCTGTACACCGGAATGATGTGTGCCGATGAACTCGCCAGATTTCTCATGCTGTAAGTACCCTTCAGTGCTAAATGTACAGCTATAAAGCTATGTAACATTAAATCTAATAACTGGTACATGTCTGTTCTATTGTGGGCCAATTGCCACCCTTCCACTCCCTAAACTGCACAATGCCAGGATGATAACTTGGGCCAGTTACTTTCAACCACTGGATTGACCTTACAGCCCTTGCTTTAGCCGCGGTGTCTGCAAGCAGCATGTGCAGATTACATTTCCATACCTACCTGACGGGGACCTACCTGACTTTGTATAAGAGTATCGTTAAAGTATGACATGCAGACTGTTTTCTCTTGTTTGTCTCCCTTTATTTGGAGGGTTAATCCTTTGTTGACTCCGTTTTAATAGGATAATGCTAACCATATTTCGATCGAAGTGCCAGGCTTCCTTACATGTAATTAGGTCTCATTTCCTGCGTCTGCTATTCCTTCACATGGTTTTCAGCCTGTTTGGAATTCCTTATTTAATAAAGTATTGAACAGCCAATTCCCTTCCTGTAATCTGGAGTGTGTGTCCACAATGTATCCTAAACTGGGGTACCAGGGAATTAGAGAGAGAATTTTATATCAAAATAAGAAAAATTCACCAACTCGCCTGCTTTTTATTTTAAATTTTTTCCTCCACCTTAACTGTTTTGGCCTAAAGTGTGCGGAGGTGAATTCCTGTGTTTAATTTTTTTAGAATAATCCACTGATTCTCTTCTGACTGTGCTGGATTCACTGCAATATATTTATAGACCACATGGGCATGTTTTTACCCCTTCCCCCATTAACTTCCCTATATCTGCTGCTGTCAAATCCCTCTCCAGCCTTTCCCATTGTTATGTTGCTCTCCGCTCTCCCGATGCCCTAGACGCCATTGTCTTTTATCTCCCGCCATTTCTTTTCCCTGTCCTGTCAGGATGTTACCATTCCTTGAAGCCAGCAACCAGCTGCTGCCACCATCTGTTTAATGTCTAGCCCTGTGGATGTCACTCTCTAATTACTTCCTACGTTTTCAATACGTTGTCAATCCACGGCTTTCCCATAAACAGCCCATTTGTAAATGTTTTGGTCCATATGCAGAACCTCTATCAAAATGACCAATCTTTCTCTGGGACTGAAATATCCCTGACTGGTGTGTGGCACAAATCCGTAGATGAGGGTTTATAGTGTATTTACCCCAGTACAAAACATTACATTTACAAATACACTGTTCTGAAAGTCGCTTACCCTAACCTGCTGGATCTCTACAGATTTAACCTTTACAAATCATCTTCTGTTTCCAGGTCAGCTCTCTGCTGGGAGAGATAAAGCCACATTCTCCATTCTGAGTGCATGATCACACAATATTAACCTGGGTTATTCAATAAAGGGTGCCTTTTGGGCAAGTCAAAGTGACATTTTAGGTTTAAAAAAAAAAAAAAAGGTTCCCCAACTCAGCGGTTTTGTTTTGGTTTCGAAATGGACTTTGATGTTGTTTACGCTTGATGAGAATGATGGGATTTGTAGTTTGATCCAGGATATGGGGTCAGTACTGTTCAGCAGATACAATTAAATGAATGAAATAAAACCATGGCATGTTTTCTCTGTAGGAGTAAGTTGGACCTCCCTCTGCGCCTCCCTACCATGGAAGATGCAGAAAATTATCTCTCTGCGGTTTTCCACAAGAATAATTTACCTTATCACAGCTTCTCGGCTTTAGGAATATTCACTTCTCACACGGAGGAAGGTAAGTGTGAAAAAAAAAAAAGGGGGGGGTAAAATCTCCCACTTTGCAGAATCACAATATGCGGAATGAAGGATTCTATCATTTTCTCGTGTTTTCCATACACAATTATATTATGCCTCCATTATACCACACATTTTCATAACAAATTAATATTTTAGCAGATTACAATATAAAATAAAGGAACATCAAAGGGCCAGGAACACAAACCTCGATTCCTGACCCTATAGTGTAAAAAACACCATCTAGCTCACTGGCCTCCCTAAATATAGCAAAATCTTACATTTATTCCAATTGGCTGCTGCTGGCTCTGCCCCTGATCTGCCTGCTTGGCTGACAAAATCAGAAGTGATGATCTGAGCCAATCACAATGCTTTCACATAGAATTGGCTGAGACTGTCAAGGAGGCAGAGCCAGCACAAGCCAAACACAGCCCAGCCCAATCCGCATCTCCTCATTGAATCCATGCATCTCCATGAGGAAAGTTCAGTGTCTGCATGCAGAGGGTGGAGACACTGAATGTCAGCACCTCTTGCAGCCATCTGTGGAGTGGCCAGTGGAGGTACCCCTAGGCTGTAATGTAAACACTGCATTTTCTCTGAAACAAACCGTGTTTACAGCAAAAAGCCTGAAGGGAATGATTCTACTCACCAGAACAAAAACAATAAGCTGTAGTTGTTATAGTGACTATAGTGTCCCTTTAGCAATAATTTGACACTTTTTTACTTAGTAGCACAATAAAAAATATACTTTATAGAACTTTTATTATGATGATCTGAAATTTTTAATTATTAGTTTAGAGCTATATAAAATCTGTAGCTCCTCTGTTTAGAATAGACAAACCACGGCCCAACAAGAATGTTCTAAATTAGTAGTTCCCCTACCAGCCCAGGATTTAGGGATTACCCCCCACCACCAGCCCAGGATTTAGGGATAACCCCCCCTACCAGCCCAGGATTTAGGGATAACCCCCCACCAGCCCAGGATTTAGGGATAACCCCCCACACCAGCCCAGGATTTAGGGATAACCCCCACACCAGCCCAGGATTTAGGGATAACCCCCACACCAGCCCAGGATTTAGAGATAACCCCCACCAGCCCCCCTAGTCCAGGATTTAGGGGAACCCCCCTACTAGTCCAGGATTTAGGGATAACCCCCACACCAGCCCAGGATTTAGGGATAACCCCCACACAAGCCCAGAATTTAGGAGTAACCCCCCCTACTAGTCCAGGATCTAGGGATACCCCCACACCAGCCCAGGATTAAGGGATAACCCCCACACCAGCCCAGGATTTAGGGATAACCCCCACACCAGCCCAGGATTTAGGGATAACCCCCACACCAGCCCAGGATTTAGGGATTATCCCCTACCAGCCAGGATTTAGGGATTATCCCCTACCAGTCCAGGATTTAGGGGTAACCCCCCTACTAGTCCAGGATTTAGGGATAACCCCCACACCAAGCCCAGAATTTAGGGAGTAACCCCCCCTACTAGTCCAGGATCTAGGGATTACCCCCACACCAGCCCAGGATTAAGGGATAACCCCCACACCAGCCCAGGATTAAGGGATAACCCCCACACCAGCCCAGGATTTAGGGATAGCCCCCACACTAGCCCAGGATTTAGGGATAACCCCCACACCAGTCCAGGATTTAGGGATTACCCTGTTGTGCCGAAAGTGTTTTATTTGTTTGTTTTTTCTTCTTGTAAAAACACCTTAGACACAACTGGCTAATCCCTGTATCCTGGACTGGTAGGGGGTACTTAAGGACTGGGTTGGGAACCACTGTTATAAATATTAAATCCATTACTGGAGAGGATTTATAGCATGGGGTAAAACAGACCCACTGACCCATCTTCAGAAGGATATTGATACCTTAGAGAGGGAGTTCAGAGAAGGGCTACTAAACTGGTTCATGGATTGCTGGATAAAACTTACCAGGAAAGGTTAAAGGATCTTAACATGTATAGCTTGGAGGAAAGACGAGACAGGGGGGATATGATAGAAACATTTAAATATATAAAGGGAATCAACACAGTAAAGGAGGAGACTATATTTAAAAGAAGAAAAACTACCACAACAAGAGGACATAATCTTAAATTAGAGGGACAAAGGTTTAAAAATAATATCAGGAAGTATTACTTTACTGAGAGGGTAGTGGATGCATGGAATAGCCTTCCAGCTGAAGTGGTAGAGGTTAACACAGTAAAGGAGTTTAAGCATGCGTGGGATAGGCATAAGGCTATCCTAACTATAAGATAAGGCTAGGGACTAATGAAAGTATTTAGAAAATTGGGCAGACTAGATGGGCCGAATGGTTCTTATCTGCCGTCACATTCTATGTTAATACAAAATAGCGATTTGCGCTTGTAGTATGAGTCGCCATAACAATCTAAATGGAAGTAAACCAGAAATTAATCGAAAGATAAAAGCCAGCGTGCAAGATGTAAATATCCTGCAAAAAAAAGCCATGTTCTATTCTCAGTAAATGCTTCGCTGTGTGCACATACACAATGTGTGAAGGAGAGGCAGTGACCGTGCAGCTGGGGAATTCACAAATGATTTATTATTTCTGTGGTTTTCTTACAACATGTAGGAAGATTGACCGAGAGATATGTTGTCACTAGCAGAATTCTGAATAATGAGTACATAGGCCATTGTCAGACACAGCCTGTGTTTAAAGGGACAGTCTCTGAGATGATTACATTTCATTGTAAAAACTAATATGTATCCATTTAATGTTTAAAGTTATATAAATAAAATGAAAGCATTAAATATTCCCTGCCACTAGGCTTGTTTCTAAACATTCTGATCACTAACAGTCAGTAGATGTTTGAAGCTTAAAAATATCTTCGTTTCCACTCCGAGCCCTGGTGTTTTAACGGCTGCATGTTACTAACATTGACTTTCACGGATTTCACTTGGGATTTACTGCCTTGGACACCATAAAAGGTTTACTTGGTGTATTTAATCTGTAATCCTCTAAGCAGGTCACCTTTAAGCTTAACATACGCCTGATTTGATAAATTTACCAAGATTTTCTTTTTAAACTGCATACATCTTGCTATGTAGGCTTTACTACAGCAATGTCCCTAAATAAAGAATGTCTTTTTAAATATAGAAAGTATTGAACGTTTGTAGTTGTGTCTTTTTGATTTTACACACAGGTGACACAGGTGTACTTTTTAGTCAGATAGTGGCCAAAATTGAGAGTACACCCGGAACATGCATTTTACAGGAAAGGTGCTGCCATAGAGACCAAAATGTATACAAAGTAGAGATTCAGGAACAGCGCACACACAATCACACAGTTTTTACATCTTACAAGGCTGTTTAATATCTCCTATCTTAGCAAACTAAATGGGAATTCAGTTCCATATATGGCCATATTGTGTTAAGCCCACCACTACGTCACAGTACCCCAGTATTGGTGGGTACTACACTAATTACATCACAATTCCCCAATATTTGTGGGTCCTACACTAATTATATCACAGTACCCCAATATCGGAGGGTCTTACACTAATTACATCACAGTACCCCAATATCGGTGGGTCTTTCCCTAATTATGCCACAGTACCCCAATATAGGGGGGTTCTACACTAATTACGTCACAGTACCCCAATATCGTGGGCCCTACACTAAATTTAAGATGGAAGACCAATTAAATCGTAAACTAAAGTGTATTTTAATAATCTATTGTTAGAGTACTTGGAATATATGTATCTTGCTAACTTAATAATCATAGAGCTAGTAATGTTATGTAGGTACTCATAATGCATGTTGTATATCTGCTGTAGATCAAATTAAAAAATTCTTAAATTCATACTTTCCTGTGGTCACCTCGTATGGGTAGGGTGGGGTGCTCAACCAAAAGGTATTTGATCTGGACTCCAAACATTCATAGAAAATAGGGGGGCACACATGGAACGTGCATTTCTCAGCATTGGTGCTGCCGCAGTGACCAGAAATTTAACAAAATACAGATTAAGGAGCAATGCACACATAAACATCTAGTTGTGCATTTTACAAGGCTGCCCGCAATCCACAGGAAGTGACAAGTGTTCATTGTTACTGTGTCGGATGAAATCTCGCATTTAGGGTCTTCTATTAATCTCGAAAAGGCGATGTTAACATATCCAGCAGATACTAATTGCCCCACATTAACCGTTAAGTACTGTTTCATGGAACAAGCTGATAACCAGTAACCATTTTCGCTATTACTGGCTTGTCACTGAAATACAGCAAGAAGCGACTCCAAGTTGGCTTTAAATCTCTATATTGCAGGTTTCAGTCCTGCCCCCGCTATGTTACAATACAGTGGGATGTGATAAGCCTGGGAAGGAGTCCAGCAGTTCATCATGCATTCATTCACTTTGTGTTTTCTGTGTGTGTGTATGTCAATGCTGAGAAACTCTGCAATATAGATATACAGTGTGTACGCTGTCTGTATCTGTATACTCAGTGCATCAGTAACCGGTAGCACGTTAATTAGTGCACATTCATCATTATCTCCGTTACAATTAGTATAATTACCTATAGTTTATGGGAAATTCATTCTATGCCCATTGAAAGTCTATAGGGGGCATTGGTGTTCATTATTTCACCCTCCATTACCTCAACAGGGAGGCTGTTATTTGATTAGGTGTTCTGAATTTTGTACGTAGAATGTGACGGCAGATAAGAACCATTCGGCCCATCTAGTCTGCCCAATTTTCTAAATACTTTCATTAGTCTCTAGCCTTATCTTATAGTTAGGATAGCCTTATGCCTATCCCACACATGCTTAAACTCCTTTACTGTGTTAACCTCTACCAGTTCAGCTGGAAGGCTATTCCATGCATCCACTACCCTCTCAGTAAAGTAATACTTCCTGATATTATTTTTAAACCTTTGTCCCTCTAATTTAAGACACTGTCCTCTTGTTGTGGTAGTTTTTCTTCTTTTAAATATAGTCTCCTCCTTTACTGTGTTGATTCCCTTTATATATTTAAATGTTTCTATCATATCCCCCCTGTCTCGTCTTTCCTCCAAGCTATACATGTTAAGATCCTTTAACCTTTCCTGGTAAGTTTTATCCCGCAATCCATGAACCAGTTTAGTAGCCCTTCTCTGAACCCTCTCTAAGGTATCAATATCCTTCTGAAGATACGGTCTCCAGTACTGTGTACAATACTCCAAGTGAGGTCTCACCAGTGTTCTGTACAATGGCATGAGCACTTCCCTCTTTCTACTGCTAATACCTCTCCCTATACAACCAAGCATTCTGCTAGCATTTCCTGCTGCTCTATTACATTGTCTGCCTACCTTTAAGTCATCAGAAATAATCACCCCTAAATCCCTTTCCTCATATGTTGAGGTTAGGACTCTATCAAATATTCTGTACTCTGCCCTTGGGTTTTTACGTCCAAGATGCATTATCTTGCACTTATCCACATTAAATGTCAGTTGCCACAATTCTGACCATTTTTCTAGTTTACCCAAATCATTTGTCATTTGGCTTATCCCTCCTGGATCTCTAACCCCGATGTTACAGTATCCCAGGCATCGAAACAGCTTGCTGTCAGTTTACATTGCTCATGGGTTTGTACATTGAGTTAGATTAATTTGCACGAGGTTCAAGGATTATTATTGTTGTATTATTTATATAGCACAGTACAGTGGGTAAAATATGCTCAGTCAGTAATTGTTTTGTCCAGGTGAGGCAGGCAGAGCGGGAACGGAAGAACTAAAATAGCACTCACATTATTCCCTAATACAAGAGCTAGAGGGGCTAAGCCTGGCAAAGCATTGTGGGACTTGTAGTCTTGTAACAAGGGGTGGTCTGCCCTGGTCTAGAGTAACATTCAAAATAGAAAGTGAATCCCTAATGAAATAGATTCTTTAGTAAATCCCTGTTTCCTTACTCTGTGTTTCTCCCATGTGTTTGATCTCAGCAGTTGATGCCTTGACTGAAGCCGGGAAAAGCCTGACTGGTTTTATCAATGTGGCCATTTACTGCGGGGAACGAGCTTCTGCCTTGTAAGTATGTGATCACAGAGTAATAAAGCAAACGCAACATCGACACGCTACATATTGTCTGTTCACAAAGCTGGGAATTTTGGAAAATGAAAGAGAATTGCAAATTTTACACCTTGATAAGTGAGCTACTAAAATGACCCAGCTTGGCGATTTTGGGTGGAAGTGTGCAATTCCCCTGTTAATGGCGCACTTTTTTAGTGAATAAATCTGTGTGTAGTGTAAATATCGATTAGACATAGTGAGCAATGTAGATAGGAGTATTTGGTTCTGTTTGGCTAGTGCAATGTATGATCCCTTGTCACTGGTTTACTGCTCACCTACCAGGACTCAGGGTTAATTTATAGAGAGCACTGAGCTAACAGAATTACTGACCGATATATAGATCCTTCAACCATTCATATAAAAGATTGTCCCCGTCACACAAGACATGCTCTTACAATATGTTGTCAGTGTACAGCTATATAAATAATAATGTAACTGCGTGCCATGACACCTTCTGTACTTGGATCTCTTTTATTCTTAATGCAGGCTGTCAGAGTGACAGCCGGGGAGGTGTGGCTGAAACGAGTCATTTAACTCCTAAATGGCCGTGACATTCAGGGTCATGATCTAGACACCAGAACTGTTTCATTAAGATAACATTGTATCCCTTTAATGCTTGTTTGCAGGATTCTGGAATAAATGCAGCTTTAAATGTGGAATGTGAGCACACAGATCTGATTCAATTAGCTAGCTAAATATATACCTGTGCATAGTATATCTGAGCTAAATATATACCTGTGCATAGTATATCTGAGCTAAATATATACCTGTGCATAGTATATCTGAGCGAACGATATACCTGTGCATAGTATATCTGAGCGAACGATATACCTGTGCATAGTATATCTGAGCGAACGATATACCTGTGCATAGTATATCTGAGCGAACGATATACCTGTGCATAGTATATCTGAGCGAACGATATACCTGTGTATAGTATATCTGACAGTTAAACGGTTGTGTTGCGTCCTTTTAGCTGCACATTCGCCATTATTCCGGTTTGCGCGCCGCTGTCTGGCATTTCGGATGGATAATATAGGATCTTTATACGTAGTGAGTTCTGCATCTCCCTTACACGGACTGTGTGTATTTTATGGGTTTTGTGGTTTCGGTGCTTGGCCTGCAGTGTTGTTTTATCCAGTTCCTTCAGATAAAGGATTTATTTTTATTTTTTTTATTTTTTTCCCCTTTCTTTGATATTTTCTTTAACCCCTTCATGACTGTGGACGTATCTGGTACGTCTGGCAGAAAACATTCCATAATGACCTTGGACGTACCTGCTACGTCCGCAGCTATTTTGAGCTCTGGAAGCTCTGATAGTATTGCAGTGATGCTCTACATGTGCGGAGTGCCTCGAGGGGTCCTGGCACTCAGTGCATATATAATAATATATATTAAAAAATTAAATAGAAAATAAATAATGATCAATATTAACCCCCATCCCTTTCTAAAGGCAGTGAATCATGGGGCTTGTGGGGGTGTCCCTAGCCTGCCTCATCATAAGGGGCAGGCTGGGGTCATCCAATCACAGCTTGCCCCATTAGCAATTTCATCCCAAGTGTGTTCCCCATTTCTCTAATTAGTGTGGCTCTGCGTCCCTCTCATCACTCATCACTAATTAGTGCGAGAGATCTGTGGTTTGGCTAGAGAGATTTAGGTGATTATAGGTAGGGATTTGTAAACTCTTGAGACCCAAAGGATCTTTTCAGATCCATTAACCCCTGTCTTGCCAGTGATCACTATAATCACCGGCTTTTGCACAGCAGTAATTGTCTGCTGTTTGTGCATATATTTTTTTTTATTTTTTTTTTGAGACCCAAAAGCTCTTTTCAGAACGATTTACTCTAGTAAATCATATGATATGATGAAAATAATGGTATCTTTAGAATGAACATTTAATAGTGAGGTAAACGGTATACAATATGTGTGGGCACAGTAAATATATAAGAGGCAAATACATCTAAACACAGCCACTGCAGAAAAAGAGCCCTGGTCCTTAACGGTAATACAATTGAAAAATTGCCTGGTCACTAAGGGGTTACTTGTCGGCTGTTTTTCCTCTTCCATCGTTCTGTATAATGGCTGATTGCTTTCATATTTAGTTCCAGTTGTTTATTGCAATACTTTTATTTTCAAACAACTAAAACTGCTTTCTAGTGAGTAAAATACTGGGATTATTCTTTTTAAAGGATTTTTAATTTAGCTGTTATAATAATAATAATCATATGGACAGTTGTGTTGTGTAACGGAACTGCCCCCCTGTAACTGAGGCACTGCCCCCCTGTAACTAAGGCACTGCCCCCCTGTAACTGAGACACTGCCCCCCTGTAACTGAGACACTGTAACTGAGGCACTGCCCCCCTGTAACTGAGACACTGCACCTGAGGCACTGCCCTCCTGTAACTGAGGCACTGCCCTCCTGTAACTGAGGCACTGCCCCCCTGTAACTGAGGCACTGCCCCCCTGTAACTGAGGCACTGCACCTGAGGCACTGCCCCCTGTAACTGAGACATTGCCCCCTGTAACTGAGTCACTGCCTGCTGTAACTGAGACACTGCCCCCCTGTAACGAGGCACTGCAACCTGAGGCACTGCCCCCTGTAACTGAGACACTGCCCCCTGTAACTGAGGCACTGCCCCCCTGTAACTGAGTCACTGCCCCCCTGTAACTGAGGCACTGCCCCTGAGGCACTGCCCCCCTGTAACTGAGGCACTGCCCCCCTGTAACTGAGGCACTGCCCCCCTGTAACTGAGGCACTGCCCCCCTGTAACTGAGACACTGCACCTGAGGCACTGCCCCCTGTAACTGAGGCACTGCCCATGAGGCATTGCCCCCTGTAACTGAGGCACTAGGGATATTATTTAGTGTGGAGGGGGATGCCGGGAGTATAGGGATATTATTTGGTGGAGGGGGATGCCGGGAGTATAGGGATATTATTTGGTGGAGGGGGATGCCGGGAGTATAGGGATATTATTTGGTGGAGGGGGATGCCGGGAGTATAGGGATATTATTTGGTGGGGATGGCGGGAGTATAGGGATATTATTTGGCGGCGGGAGTATAGGGATATTTGGTGGCGGGGATGGCGGGAGTATAGGGAAATTATTTAGTGGGGGGATGGCGGGAGTATAGGGATATTTGGTGGAGGGGATGGCGGGAGTATATGGATATTATTTGGTGGAGGGGGTGGCGGGAGTATAGGGATATTGGGTGGAGGTGGCGGAGTATAGGATATATTTAGTGGGGTGCCGATATAGGGATATTTAGTGGGGTGGGTGCCGAGTATAGGGATATTATTTAGGGGTGGCGGGAGATAGGATATTATTTAGGGGTATGGAGTATAGGGATATTTGGTGAGGGGTGGCGAGCATAGGGATATTTGGTATGGAGTATAGGGATATTTGGTGGAGGTATGGAGTATAGGGATATTATTTAGTGGGGGGTGCCGAGTATAGGGATATTATTTAGTGGGGGGGTGCCGAGTATAGGGATATTATTTAGTAGTGGGGGGTACGGAGAGGGATATTATTTGCGGAGGGGTGCCGAGTATAGGGATATTTAGTGGGGGAATGCTGGGAGGAGCAAGGATAGTATTTGGTGGAGGGATGCCGAGTATAGGTATATTATTTAGTGGGGGATTCCGGAGTATAGGGATATTATTTGGTGCAGGGGGGTGCCGGGAGTATAGGGATATTATTTGGTGGAGGGGGTGCCGGGAGTATAGGGATATTATTTAGTGGGGGGGGAATGCTGGGAGTATAAGGATAGTATTTGGTGGAGGGGATGCCGGGAGTATAGGTATATTATTTAGTGGGGGGATTCCGGGAGTATAGGGATATTATTTGGTGCAGGGGGGTGCCGGGAGTATAGGGATATTATTTGGTGCAGGGGGGTGCCGGGAGTATAGGGATATTATATAGTGGAGGGGGGGTCCTGGGAGTATAGGGATATTATTTGGTGGAGGGGGGTGCCGGGAGTATAGGTATATTATTTGGTGGGGGAGAGGCCGGGAGTATAATCTCATGAACTGCAGACTCAGCAGGTGACCTTATTCTGCTGTGAGTGTGTTGTTTCCAAAATCCGCCCTGTGCGATCAGTCGCTCATAACCTGTATTATATCTAACCCCCGGTCAAACGTTTTATCGCTCTCCCTGTTAAGCCCTGAACATGCTGTGACACACCATTCCCCCAGGCTGCGATTACATGGGAAAACGATTCCAGTCTAGTTTGATCAATCCCATATGAAAGCAGTGTTTTCACTGTAAGTTGCGTGCCAGCGTTTACTGTCAATGGCGCCAAATTCACCTTCTCTGTCCTTTCCGAGCTCTGATGGTCGGCCAGATCTAATTCCTCCGTCTTTATTCTGCATTTTCCACCTTCCTGCGCTCGCCTTATGCAGAACAAGTAAGGAAAACAAACAGATTATATTGCATTCTTAGGATCTCCCAGAAAAGAACGCAGGACAGAAAATCTATTTTTTTTCTTCTCGGGACCATAGGAAAGGCAACGTTAAGTGATTTATTATTCCTCAGACATGATTCTCCATGCGTTCATGCTGTAACAACATACACCAGTGTACAAATGCTTACCTTTAGCTTGCCTAAAACACGTAGGTAAGTCTGTATTGGCGAGGCCAGCCATCATTGTCTTAAGCGGTTTTAGTCTCTAATGTGAAACACCAGATAATGGCATTAATAACCCTCAGAGAATTTAATATAAATGCATCGGTTTTTGTTTTGTTAGATCTGAAAAGTTTGGCGTGTCTCCTCCAGCCATCCTTTTTACCTGGAGCGATGATAAAACGATCTATGGTGTTTCTCTGCAGAGCTTGACGGCAGAGGAGATTGTTCATCTGATCAAGCACCAATCACTTGGAGTGTTTGTGAGTTTTCTTTGTAATACATATTATATATTGTTTCATCATAACGCAAGAAATACAAAGTAGTGTACAGCGCATAAATCAATATGGAATAATATTATACATTCATATCCGTAACCATAAAGTGCATCACAGTGGCCCAAAAAGTGTAAATAAATAAAAATGTTTATAAAAAAACAAAACACTCTCACAGGGTAATATGGTTTTTGTAATCTATATAAAACAATCACAGATGCAGTTTTATAGTTATCACTCTCACATGTTTGAGCCTGGAGGAGTGATAGCTGTAGGATTCGAAGTATAGCCAGTTGATTGTGCAGCTATCAGCAATCTGACAAACATAGAAACATAGAATGTGACGGCAGATAAGAACCATTCGGCCCATCTAGTCTGCCCAATTTTCTAAATACTTTCATTAGTCCCTGTTTATATCTTGAAAAGTTAGCACTAACTAACACTGAGTACTTAGAGATCCAGCTATAGAACCCATTAGCAACTATAAACCCCCCCATCATGAGTCTTCAGACCGTCTTCTCTGCCTGTTACAGATTGATACGTATATGGTATTCTGTGAGTATCAAGTGGAACACTAATAGACAGATATGGTGAGACAGCGCTGGTCAACTTACAGGCAGCAACCTTTAAAAAGGAAACCCTCCAAACCCTTTAAAACAAGACAAAATAAACAATAAAAAGGCTGCACCACAGAATAATAAAAAATATATATAATAAGTCCAACTTATGTGTCCTTGCGAATAGTCTTTCCAACAAATAGTGCAGTGGTAAAGTCTTCATAAACTGTAGTGGTTCCACTTTTATAGAAGACAAAAAGAGAGGGACAACCAATAGTGCAGTATGTATAGTTCCAATATGAGTTAGTTCTGATGAGTTGTGGGCGAAACGCGCGCGTCAGGGGCTATCGGCGATTCTTTGCTAATACCTTGTAGTGTGGGATACTTACCAGATTGTCCACACTTCCCTCAGAATCCCTTTTGTATACTACTGTTAGAATTGGGCGGTTTTTAGGTATTGGGTTTTTTTTCCCCCTGTATATTAACGTATTTGTGGCACTCTATTTATCATTTACTTTATTACTACTTTTGATAAGGGGTCACTGATTTTTCACTTACTGATAATCCGCCAATTAGACTTCTCTACAGTTTTTATTTTTGTGATCATAGATTTCCTTTTTCGTTAAGTCATCCAATACCATTTGCAACTTGACTTCTCTTAGAGGTACTAAGCGCCACAATTTGTGTTATAGTTGATCACATACTGCAACATTGTATTGATGCAGTGTTCATTTATCAGAGGTTCACTGAAAACTTTTGAACAGGTCCTCTGCATTTGTTATTCCTTCGCTATGTACTCCTTATCTTACATGTTTTGATATTATTTTTAACCCTTAATAAGGGACTATCACTTTAGAACTGCAATCCCTCTATTATAATACATTGCAACTAAGTGTATAGTGAGTAGTATTTTTCATTACTTTGTGCTATATTAGGCTATCTACACTTGATTTTTTAACTTATTTATTAAAAGTTCATTTTTAATTATTCGCAGGGCACTCAATTGTTTTGTTTCTGTAATTACTACCTTGGTAGTTTTGTGTGGGTTAACCCCACTATGAGTGTTTTCCCTATAGCTTCCATTTCTCTTCTTTTTTTTTTCTTCGAACTGCTATATCACACTGGGGATTGCTATGCTCTGCATATTCCCCTGAGCTTTTAATCACTTAGCTCTTTTAAGAGCTGTTCCTGTTATGCTCTCCTGGAGGAGAGGTCTTCCCCACATGGTCCTGGAGGACAGAAGCTGATCCAGGGTGGAAGGAAGACGGCGAGACTCCAGTTAAGCTACGGCAGTTGTGGAGTCTGCGGTGGTTGTGGTGTCTGCTGCAGTGTTTGGAGTCCTCAGGAAGCGCTAGGAGCATCCATCAACGGAGGGTACTCGGTCGGAGTACAGGGAGCTCCGTTACAATTTCTATCTGGGGTTACCCCCATTTTCTCAGTGTACCTAATTGTTGGCTCTATCTCTGCTCTTTTTCTTATGATTGTAACATGAGTTTGATGGGGACCGTTACCCTGGGAGGATTGAAGACTAGGGCAGAGTCTGGGGGAAGATGATTTTATTAAGTACACAGGGAGAAGGTGCTAATAATGAAATCATGTTTTTTTTTATTTTTCTATATATTTAACCTCCAGCGAGGGTCTGGTTTTAGGAGATAAACGGAGGTCAGAAGCCCATTGCTTAGCTCACAGAATGTGCTTTATCTGCCCACAAACCTAGAGTACTCTGCATTCAGACAAACCTCGTCTAACTGAGAAGCAGAATGTTACAAATACCAATTATCACAAACTCTTTAATTTTTTTTTTATTTTTTTTTTTTCAGCCAGAGATCACAGTGGAAAATTTTCCTTCTTTCTTCACTCCTAAAAAGCCTTTACTGCTTTTATTCTCAGACAGCAGGATTGGTCACCGTGATGGAAAATCTATTCAGAGCTTGGTGCGAGGAAGGTACTTGGAGTCGTATCGGACTGGCTGGATCAATCTGTAAGTAAAAATAGACATATATTAACGGGATCTAGATTGAAGAAATGTAAAAAACAAAACAAAAAAAAAACAACTTGTTTTAAATTGTGAAATTTGTCTGGAGCAGGTAGTAGAAGGATTTAACTGGTGGTCTGGGCAGGAGGAAGTAAAAGGAGGGAATTTAAGCTTTGTGCAGGAGGAAGAGGAGCTTTGAGTGAGAGGTGGGGACTGGAGCTCTGGGATAGAGGAGCTCAGTGGGGACTGGAGCTCTGGGATGGAGGCGCTCAGTGGGGACTGGAGCTCTGGGATGGAGGTGCTCAGTGGGGACTGGAGCTCTGGGATGGAGGCGCTCAGTGAGCAGTGGGGACTGGAGCTCTGGGATGGAGGCGCTCAGTGAGCAGTGGCGACTGGAGCTCTGGGATGGAGGCGCTCAGTGAGCAGTGGCGACTGGAGCTCTGGGATGGAGAAGCTCTGACAGGAGGGGACTGGAGCTCTGGGATGGAGAAGCTCTGACAGGGGACTGGAGCTCTGCGATGGGCTCTGACTGAGAGGAGGGGACTGGAGCTCTGGTATGGAGAAGCTCTGACTGACAGGAGGGGACTGGAGCTCTGGGATGGAGACTCTCTGAAAGGAGGGGACTGGAGCTCTGGGATGGAGCTCAGTGAGAGGAGGGGACTGGAGCTCTGGGGAGGAGAGGACAGAAGCTCTGAGTGAGCTGATGGGACCTCTGGGATGGAGTAGCGCAGAGCTCCAGCCTCCTGCTCTCACCCAGAGGAGGGTGCTGGAGAAGATCTGACTGATGGGAGGGGACTGGAGCTCTGGGATGGAGGAGCTCTGACAGGAGGGGACTGGAGCTCTGGGATGGAGGAGCTCAGTGAGCGGAGGGAACTGGAGCTCTGGGATGGAGAAGCTCTGACAGGTGGACTGAAACTCTGGGATGGAGAAGCTCTGACTGACAGGAGGGGACTGGAGCTCTGGGATGGAGGAGCTCTGACAGGAGGGGACTGGAGCTCTGGGATGGAGGAGCTCAGTGAGCGGAGGGAACTGGAGCTCTGGGATGGAGAAGCTCTGACAGGTGGACTGAAACTCTGGGATGGAGAAGCTCTGACTGACAGGAGGGGACTGGAGCTCTGGGATGGAGGAGCTCTGACAGGAGGGGACTGGAGCTCTGGGATGGAGGAGCTCAGTGAGCGGAGGGAACTGGAGCTCTGGGATGGAGAAGCTCTGACAGGTGGACTGAAACTCTGGGATGGAGAAGCTCTGACTGACAGGAGGGGACTGGAGCTCTGGGATGGAGAAGCTCTGACAGGTGGACTGAAACTCTGGGATGGAGAAGCTCTGACTGACAGGAGGGGACTGGAGCTCTGGGATGGAGGAGCTCTGACAGGAGGGGACTGGAGCTCTGGGATGGAGGAGCTCAGTGAGCGGAGGGAACTGGAGCTCTGGGATGGAGAAGCTCTGACAGGTGGACTGAAACTCTGGGATGGAGAAGCTCTGACTGAGGAGGGACTGGGCTCTGGGACTCTGACAGGAGCTCTCTGGGATGGAGGAGCTCTGACAGGAGGGGACTGGAGCTCTGGGATGGGCCTGACAGGTGGACTGAAACCTGGGATGGGCTCTGACTGACAGGAGGGACTGGAGCTCTGGATGGAGGAGCTCTGGCAGGAGGACTGGAGCTCTGGGATGGAGGAGCTCAGTGAGCGGAGGGAACTGGAGCTCTGGGATGGAGAAGCTCTGACAGGTGGACTGAAACTCTGGGATGGAGAAGCTCTGACTGACAGGAGGGGACTGGAGCTCTGGGATGGAGGAGCTCTGACAGGACTCTCTGGGATGGAGGAGCTCTGACAGGAGGGGACTGGAGCTCTGGGATGGAGGAGCTCAGTGAGCGGAGGGAACTGGAGCTCTGGGATGGAGAAGCTCTGACAGGTGGACTGAAACTCTGGGATGGAGAAGCTCTGACTGACAGGAGGGGACTGGAGCTCTGGGATGGAGAAGCTCTGACAGGTGGACTGAAACTCTGGGATGGAGAAGCTCTGACAGAGGAGGGGACTGGAGCTCTGGGGTGGAGCAGCTCTGACAGGAGGGGACTGGAGCTCTGGGGTGGAGGAGCTATGACAGGAGGGAACTGGAGCTCTGGGATGGAGGAGCTCAGTGAGCGGAGGGAACTGGAGCTCTGGGATGGAGAAGCTCTGACAGGTGGGGAGAAACTCTGGGATGGAGAAGCTCTGACTGACAGGAGGGGACTGGAGCTCTGGGATGGAGAAGCTCTGACAGGGAGGGGACTGGAGCTCTGGGATGGAGAAGCTGGAGCTCTGGGATGGAGAAGCTCTGACAGAGGAGGGGACTGGAGCTCTGGGATGGAGTAGCTCTGACAGGTGGGGACTGGAGCTCTGGGATGGAGAAGCTCTGACTGAGAGGAGGGGACTGGAGCTCTGAGTTAGAGGAGGTCCAATGTCAGAGACTTTGAGCAGCTTAGAGATACTTTTGGGTAGGGAAGGGGAGAAGCAGTTACATCATCAAACATGCACACGATGAACACTAGGCAGCCCTGAACGGAGTACTGGGGTGCAACAAGCCCCACTAAACACACAAGTGCCAGAATTATGTGAAACATTGTACATACAGAATCCCACCACCACCATGACCACTTCACATCACTGAAGTAGTCATGGAGGTTGGAGTAACGGTTTAACAGTTATCCAGCTTTCTAAGTGCTATTTAAGGAGGACCTCAACCCCCACACTTGATTCCTTGATAGGAAGCGTCATTAGAGGTGAATGTAACCCTGCAATGTAAGCATTACTGAATCTACTAAATGGCAGGATCACGGCGCCCAGAGCGCTTCCTTCAGGCAGCATTAACAGTTTCCCGAACACATAAAGCAGAGGATTAGATTCAAACCCACTGGGTGGAAATGCCATTTGTGTTGCAAACAAGCCATATTTTAAAGAGGAGTCGTTCAATCTTGTTCAAGTGTATTTATTTTTAGTGAGAACGCAGCCTCTCCATCCTCTGGTCTGTATAAGGCTTCCCCAGTGTTTCCTTTTTTTACCTCTTTGTCATAACTCAGAACATTGATTGGAATATTCTATACCAGAGGTCTCAGACAGCTTCCTGCTGTCCCTGGGGAAGGTTAAAGCAGCTCATAGTGATAAGATCTTCCTGAAATCCACTCATTGACTGGGTTGGAACTTCACTGAACTTGAAGTCCAAAGATATACTGAAACAAAGGGGAGAGACCGCTTCTGTTAATCCCCCAGCTATAACCTGTGTATCGAGGATCTTGCACTCCATATATTTAAGTGTTGTGTGTATTCATGCCTGCTGCCAAGAGAGCAGCCACCTTCGGGGTCTCGGCAGATTAAGCAGAGACCCCACACAGTGACAGACGCTTTAATATCTATTTAAATCCGTAAATGTCTCTGTAAACGAGGCCATTAAAACAGTACTTTAATTCTACATATGTAAGTAATGTGATTTCTCCTTTTGTCCTAGAAACAACACACCAGTTGGGTATGGCGTACTGAAGAGGTACTTTGGGTTCATACCCCAACTGCCCGTCCTGGTTCTTATCCAGTTTGATGTTAGAAGTCCTGTATTTGCTTTACTTTCAGACCAACATCTCACTGAAGTCAATATCTTGTATTGGTTAGAAATGATCAAAGGAGGAGCTGAACTGCCCATCTGTAAGTTCTTACACACAGTCTAGAAATCCATATCGATCTAAATTTGGATTGAGACAAACATTAGCCAAATCGCTGGTGCTTCCGAATTGCACGAGTCTTGATTCGCACACTATGGACGCAGAGATCAATGTATTTTTAATTTCGATCTTTCAGCTGTTTGTTAGACAAGCTCCGTAATCTGACGTCCTTAAATATCAAATTAGGGGGATCTTTAGAAAGATCAAAAGTTAGAAATGCATATTTTGATTTGTCGGGGTGGGGACAAAAACGGATTTGAAAGCATTCTTATACATGGCCTTTAGTCTGTTTGTCGTTTTAGCGCCATAGTGTATCGCGGCTTCAATAACCTATCCCAGACAGTAGATGGGCTGCATGTCAGTATATTTTGTGTCGAACATGGGAATCCTGTGATAAGTCAATCTGTTAGGTATCCAATATCCCACAAAACGTTGACAGTGGTTGTGGTGGATGTATGTACAATTAGGGCTACAATACGGGATATTTATTGCAGCGATAGTTTCAATTTGATTTTTAGTTCACTACAATTCAGATTAAAGTGATAATGAAACCTACAGTAATTCTGCTACCAAAACGCTTTAAGCAGCCAGTCTGTCTCCCCCACTGTGAATGAAACTGACGGCAATCCTGTGTTTTTATTCCTAGATATGTGTTTAAACTATTTACAGTAACATTTCTTCATCCAATTATTTGATATTTAGTGTTTGGGCCCTGGGGTCGTTGTGTGCTCGGTGGGAACGAATAAGGAGGAAAACCAGGAAGAGAAGAACATATAAATTCACTTTGGAGAAATGATTTGTAACATTTATGCCCAAATAATCTGAACTGAAAGCATTGCTGACAGAGAATTGTTCCAGTTTAGTTACTTGAATTCACATTTAATTCTCACGTTACTGAATCAACCCCATTACTATTGTTTTTTGTTCCAGATTCCTTATTGAAGCATGAATGGAAAGCCCCTCTGCATGATTATGATTTTCTAGCCATCATGGATGGTACAGTCCCAGACTTTGCTGCTCAGAAGATCCCTATTAAGATGAAATCACAGAAAGTTTCCACAGAGGGCAAAGAAGTACAAGGGCCCTCGGCCAGTTTACGTGGAACGGGTCCAAGGTTCCCAGCAAATGACAAGGAACCCGGAACTCATCCAGAGTTATAATCCTAGTGACGTGCGGCTCCGTGAATTCACTGGAGAATGTGATGGTAGTGGGTGATGGAGGGATACGACCTGCTCAGACATCATAGGAACCTCTGTTACTGTAAATAGTCACTTTTTCGATGGAACATATGGAAGTTGGGAGTGGGGGTTCCCACTGGATTTTGGCAACATTCCAAAGATCTTAAAATAAAACCATTTAGAAGGACCTGTAATGAATCCGAAGCCTGTGTAGTTTTTGGTTATTTAGAATTATTATTCTATCAGGAAGTCTTCTTAGATTACCAGTATCCCAGAGAAGTTCCCCTTTGAGCCTGGAAACTGTCCAGTAACGTGCTGACGAGCCCACACAGCGAGCCGCGCTGTAAGATTCTCTGCGTCTTCTGTTACAACAATCTTAATTTAGAGCAAGGCCTGTGGTGGATCTAGATCTGAGTGGGGCCAGAATGACTAACTCCACACAGGCAGGGCCACGATCTCAGAGCAGCAGTACGATCACAGCAAGGATCATTTTCCACTGTCATTTGATTTTCAGTATAGAAATGAGATTTTTTTTTTTAAATAAATGTTAATCTGTTTTTTACAAATGCAAAGTGAATGAAAGTCTGGCAACTGGTTACTTAGTAGGGGATTAAAGGTGAATAAAGGATACATAATCAATGCTAGCTAATTTAGGGCAGATTACAAAATCCAAGCCAATACCCCGAGAGAAATCTGTGGGATACAAATTATAGTAATATATTGATTAAAAGGATCAGTTTGCTCACTGTTGCCCGATTTCTCAAAGTTCACCATGACATATGCCGGTGATGTAGAATGGTCCTTTTTCTGTTGATTCCCTGTTACAGTCAGTGCGACAGCTTATTGAATGAATAACCATTAACGCCAACGTTAGGACATAATAAAACGTTACATTGTGGTGCCGCTATCCTGGTTAGATAATATTCAGATGTTACTAGAGGCTCATACACAGACTGCTATGTTGCTTTACTAAAAGTGTATAAATATTAAGCTGCCCACAGTATCTAGAAATGCATTCAATACAAAATCTGAATTATCGGTCTATATGAATAACGTAGAGAATTTTGTAAATCAATACTCTACTTGTTTTGTGTATGATTTACAGCAATCACATTCCAGATTTTACAAATCTTTCTCTGTAGATTTCTGTATATCATTTGTGTCCTGTCAGGAAGTGGTATAACCATCCTACAATTAGTTTGATTTATTTTTACAAATTCCATAGCAGGAACAGCTAACCAGATGCTTTTAACCCTTAAACTGCCAGGAATGTTTAACATGTAATTGGTCAATGGTATAAACCGTGGAATAGGGGTAATTTCGCCGGTTTCTGTCTTACTTTCATTGGAATATAAGTACCAGTGCATCACTGTTCCTTTTGCGTTATCCATGGAGACATTTTGTTTCCCCCTTTTCTTTGTCTTTTATAGATGAACAATTTAACCAGCCCTTTTATAAGAGCAACTTTTATATCACATACCCAATGGTAAGTAACAGAACATATCACACACGTTTACAGCGGTCACTGAGCGTCATGCACCCACGTACCTACATACAACACACTTTTTTTTTTTTTTTTATAGAAAACTGGCAGTTTGGCCCCAGTCTAATCATCTCCATGAAATAGTGAGTCAGCCCGTGTGGCGAAACCAACCTCGCCACTGTACACTGGAGAAGCCTGGTTGCTCGCCTGCTCCCTTTAGACTATGGTCCTGCATTTTAAACTTGTGTTTTACCTGCAGAAAGGTTTATTCGTGCCTTTCTGCGGACTGTTAAAGCCATGATACCCCAGATAGCTATGCTGTGGAGCCCAGCCGTATACTGAAAGACTGTATGAAAGACTTTGGCTCCATGGCGATTGAACTGTATGTATGTGATCTGAGCGCCATTCGGTAATAACGTTCGCTCAGATCTAAGCTATCTGGGGATATGTAGAATGTCTGTTTTATGGATTAAATGTAAATGTATGTCCCCTTGCATGGGGACTTGCATAAAAGCCAGTGTGTGGCCATTACAGACAGTTCCTGCCTAACCCTCAAAGTGAAGTGTCCGTCTCATTATTGGGGGAGGATTTATTGTATGCTGTTCCAGTTTGATTGCCAGGAGTGTAAGCTGATTGTATGCTTTGCCTGTTCAGCTGTTTCCAGTATTAGTGAGTTTCCTGTTCAGGAGTTGGAGAATTCGTGTAGTTTGCAGTTCGGGAGATTGGTGCTTGCAGTAGCTGTCTTTGCATCTGAAAGGGGAATATCGCCTAAACGGTTTTTAACCTCGTGTGCAAAACGGTTCGTTACAGCCCGGTTCCTACAGATTTAAATGTTAAAACGGAGACTGAGATCCAAGTGAGCTTGTTCTGTGCCTTAAAAGGTACCCTCTGAACACCATAACTACTGCAAAACACTGGAACTTGTTCATCATTTAGGGCACAAATTATTAGCAAGTTAAAATTCACCCCTGGGGAGTGTGCCATGGACCCTGCTGATTTGCAGTGACTAGTAACTTTCAAAGCCTGGCTCGTAACATAGGACCTCAGATTGTAAGTAGAATTACTCTGTGCGCTTTCTCAAAACAGAAAGATACATTGTGCACACTGTATGTTTATTGTAGGTGCTTCTATTTCAGATACATTTACAGTGAATTTTAAGGCGTTATTTCCAAAGATCTTTTACAAACGCAGATTTTTAAAATAGGTTATATCTGTGCTCTAAAGTTAGAAACCGCTCCTTCAGTCTAAGGATTAATATGCAATCCATTCTGTTTTAATTAGACCTCGATATACTGTCAGAAAACCTATACTTACACTCTCAAAGTATATTGATTTATTACCCCTATTATTTGTGGTATAAGTGCAGGAGATACTCTTAGCGAGCAGGTGTGAAAGGGAAGAGGAAAAGAATAAGTTTCACAACCACCCCATGTTAGCACATTGCCGTCACTGACCCGCTAGAACACCTACAGTTGGGGCTGATCTGGGGCCACGCTGCTTCACGTGGTGTCAGGTAAGTCGATTGGAATCAGACGGAAAAATAATAAACACACAAAAGAAGAATGGCAGCTTCTATGGGCATGGAGTCTTCCCGAGCTGCTACCTCTCACAGAGCTGCCGCCCCACAGCAAAGGCCTCAGCGGCTTACGACGAATCCTTTATTACAAAGCTGCAAACTCATGCTTTGGTCTAAATGCCGAGTGTAAAGCAACAGGACATTTCTAAAGGAACTTCCTGAAATAATGAAAATACAAAATGTCATGCCAAGGTTGCAAAATTCATTGTTGCACTATGGACTATTGCCATTTAATGTAATTTATGTAGTGCAGATATGAGTTGGTTGCAAGATAGGTGACAGAAGGGGTAGTGTGATTTGCATAGGAATGTGAAAGGAGGCAGATAGTTTGCATATGGTTGATCCCTTGATTAATCAAAGGCTCTGTAAGGCGTGAGAAGTCACACCTAAGTGTCCTGGAAGTCTAGCTCCAATAAAAACTAGCTGACTTCAGCCATAGGGCCTCTACCTTTTAATTGGGGAGTGGATTTATTTGATATGTTAATGATCCTTAGCTTTCAAGAAAAGAGAAAAATCAAGCCTTATCTTCCAGTATCATATCCCAAAAAAAAGAAACCTTAAATTTACCCACAGAATAATCATAATTAAGCCTAATTTTTGTTATATTTGGAATGTGACAAGCGCCCTCTTCTAAACAAGCCCAAACATGATTGGCATAACAACCATAGGGGAAGGGGTTGTGATGTCTGTTACATTGGGTCACAAGTAGGAAGTATGACATATCTATGGAATGGAGAATTGTTAACAAATCCATAGAGGCAATTAATATTTATGTGGCAAGTACATAAGAGAAGAAAGAACAGTTTGATTTGGTTCTGGACACAAGGGGTGGTCACTTATTGTCTCTATAGATATGCCTTAACTCCACCTCTGAGTGAGGCATGGTAATCCACAGAGGTATATCTCTAATGATACTGAAGTGTGCATTGTACTTGCTTGGGGCCAAAATCAAATTTTGAGTGAGTCACCATCTTCCTTGCCGGAGACCCCCTGGACAGAAGTTTTACTTTGAAAATCTAAGGAGTAAGTGATTAGGACTTTGTTATTTTATCTCTTTTGTTTTTATCTGTTGGTGTAAATAATTCATCTAATTTATTTATTTTTTTTGGTCAAAGTTTTTGAGGTTTTTATATAGAAAGAACAGCATCACAGGTATGTACGTTGAAATACATTAGATAGGTGTAGGCACCACATGCATACTGATACAATAACATGAGTAATCGGGGTCAATTTTACAGTCCGAGCAGGTACTGAGGCTTACACAAACAATCACAGCAGGCATACTGGAAGGAGATTCACATGGTGACCATTCAGAGATATACAGTAATTTCATGTGCGTATCCGGAGCATGCATCCTGCGATGAGGAACAAGAAAAAACAGGGAAGGGAAAAGGGTACAGAAAAGAAAGCGGGAGGGATGAGGGAAAAGTTGATCCCAACTACAATCTCCTGTGCGTCCATTCATTAGAGTCCGTCCACTGTCAGTTATTTGAGAGGTGTGTGTCACCCAAGTCTGCAGTGATAACCCTTGGTTATGCCCCTATTAATTTGGGTCACCCAGACCCCCTTCACCCGTTTCCCGTCCCCCTAAGGGGAGGCTCATGGCCCCATAATTGGACAACAATGGACTTGTTGTCCAATGGCCTCATAATATTCCACCCAGCGGCCCCATGCGCTTTCAAAAGGTTTGGTTTGCGCCGGCCTGCTTAGTGACATCCGTGCATATACATAGTAAAGCTGTATTTTATGTAGGAGGTGGAGGGTTGAGGAGCATGTTGTTGTTTTCCAGTTGACCGCTAATAAATTCCTAGCAGCAAGCATGAGAAGTTCAGCCAGCTGTTTGAGGTTTTTGTGTAAACGGGGTGGGAAGAGAAGGAGCAAGCAGGTAGTCACGGTCACCCGCTTATCTATGATTTCCAGGGTCTCAATCAGGTCCCCCACCGCATACCACAGGGGCTTAATAACTGCCCATCGTCTGTCTGCAGCGCCAGCATGTATTTGGCACCGTGGGAAAGATCCTGTGAAGTCTGCTGGGTGTGCAATACCACCTATAAACTAGCTTTCTATGCGCTTCCCCTGAGAGCATTCAGTGAGGCTAACCATTCTTGTTCTGTTAGCGTCAGGATTAGTTAATGGTTCCCATGACTTAATAAATGGTAGCGGCACCTCTGGTGCGACATCCATTAGTGTTTTTAAGAGACAATGCCTTGGGTTTCCCTAGGGCTCTCCAGCATCGGTCATACAATAATTGTATGTGTGGGGATTTAGTGTTGTGGATGGTAGCTCCAGACTGGATGCTTTTCATTTGTAAGTATTGGAAGACTAATGAGTTGGGTAGTTTGAAAGCTTCCTGGAGGTCTGGGAAAGCCCGGTTTCCCTCTCTGCACAGATCTCCAATACATTTCACCCCCATTCTGCGCCAAGTCTGTAGAGGTAACCAAGGTGAGAGCGCATGTGATCGTTGTGATCATCTCCCTGCGCTCTGCAGAGCTCTCACTACCTGCTGGAAGGTATCACTACTCAATCTGCTGGAATTTTTTTTTTTTTTTTTTAAGAAGGTTCAGCTTAAAGGGACACTCCAGGCACCCATTGGAGTGGTCTGGGTACCAACTCCCACTACCCTTAACCCTGCAATTGTAATTATTACAGTTTTCATAAACTGCAATATTTACATTGCAGGGTTAAGTCCTCCTCTAGTAGCTATCTAGTAGACAGCCACTAGAGGACACTCTGTGTTCATAGAACACGAAAAGTGTTATAACGACGCTGGACGTCCTCATGCTACGTGAGGACGTCCAGCGTTGCCGAAATCCCCATAGGAAAGCATTGAAAGCATTATTCAATGCTTTCCTATGGGGAGGTCTAATGCGCATACGTGGCAGGGCCGCGCATGCGCATTAGGTCTCCCCGTCTGCTGACGTCAGTGGGGAAGGAGTGTAGGCGGAGCTTGACCCAGCGCTGAGGGACATCGGCGCTGGACTACGGTAAGTCACTGAAGGGATTAACCCCTTCAGCAACTTGGGATGGGGGGGTGAGAGAGAAGGGACCTTCTTGGTTTGGTCAAGATGAACATCCTACCACGCATACTGTACTTGCTTCAGAATATACCGTTTACAATCCCCAGAGAATTTTTTAGTTCTATAGTGACTGCAATACAACGGTTCATATGGAACCAACGGCCCACCCAACTTAGAAGAGCCCTCTTGGAGTTACCTAAACAAGCTGGGGACACTGGACTCCCGTTAATAGCAACATACAACCATGCCACTCACCTAAGAAGCAGTGGGTGGACATGGAGATCCAACAGGTGAAAGGCAAAATTACATCCGAGCTATGGCTGGGGAAAATAACGTTGGGCACCTTACAAACTAAAAATCCCTTGATGGATGCCACAATTGGGATATGCTGCCCTCTCCATCAGCGACAACTGACGACATCACCCAACCCACTCACCCCCATTATGAAAAAGCCAAACTAAATCTAAAGACCTGGCAGGTTTTCAAGTCACTGGTGGGTATACATGCACCATAAACACCCAACTTAAAACACTTCTCCCAGATAGACATGCGACCCCACTAGATCACTTCCATTACCACCAAATTAAAACGCATTACATGTCTATACAGGGCCAAGGGCAGATACACAGACCCTTAGCAAACTGAATTATGCACCACACGGGTAATCTCAGCTTTATACTCGATACTGCTGTCGACCGTAGGCGACATGCCTCTTGGGTTACGAGTAAATGGGAAAGAGAAACAGGAGTTACACTCACAGATCAAGAATGGGGCAAAATCTTTGCCCTCACACACAAATGCTCAAAATTTCAAGTCATGCTACAAACTAATAAAACTTTTGGTACAGGACACCCGAAATACGCACACTGACAATCCTAAAGAAAGCTGAATTGGATGGGGGAACCGGACTGCACATCTGGTGGTCATGTTCCGCGATCGTTCCTTTTTGGAAGATGGTACACCCCAAAATCTAGGAAATCACAGACACCATCCTACCATTCCATCCATTGACTATGCTACTATATCACACCACGTTACTACTGAAAACATATACAAAAAATAAATAAATGCTTGACTCTTCCGTTGTTAACTGCCGCAAAGTCCCTGATCCTGACATTCTGGAAACGGGTTGGTGTACCAACCCTCCTGCAATGTGCTGCTAGAATTGAGATCTACCCCATGGGATATTTGACGGCAGCCCTATGGAGACTTTTAGAACAATGTGTCCAGACTTGGACACTCTGGCTATCATACACTACTAGACCTCTTGCAGGTATGTGAAGGAACCTGAGCTCTACCACAAATTGAGACATGACCTTAAATAGACTAATCAGATAGATAAAATTAACTTTTTTTTTCTCTCCCCCTTCTTCTCCCTCCGCTTTCTCCTTTTCTTTCCTGCTATAGCACACACTCTTTGGCTTCATAATCATTGAGGGTAAGACTTCACACAGACATTGATACCCATATAAACAAGCCACGTTATTGGGGCTCCTACTACCCTGCTTCCTTTTGCACCACAATATGAGCAATGTTGGTGGACCTGATATTCCAACAGGTAGCATTGCATCGCAAGATGTACATCCCTGATACATTGAGTATGACGACCCTTAACCAAAAGGTTTATTACATTATGTCTACAGAAACTGTTATTGTACAGAAGTTTTTTTTGTACTCAAGCATTTACAACATTCATTTGTTGTGTAAACTTTGTAAATCTGTCACCTAATCTCTTTCTGTACTGAACATACAAATAAAGATTGTCAGAAAATGATCGCTTTTCTCTCTGTTTAATGTTACCGTGGGAAAGGGATTACTTCGTGTTATATACATTCTGGTGAGACTCCGGTATTCCTGTGAATGGGTGGGATATATCCTAACAACATGCCAAGAACACACACATTCTGCAGAGTGCTCGATTACCCACAATTCACTCTGCAATGATGGAGGTTTTTGTTTTCATGGAGTGGACGTAACAAGACTACAGTCTGCCCAAGAAATGATGGCAAACCGTGGTTTATTAAAGAGACACTCCAAGTACCATCACCACTGCAGCCTGTGGTGTTCGTAGGCTTTGGGCACCATTTACAGGTCTCAGTTCTTACTAATTTACAGACTGCTCTGCCCTCGACAAATACGCTAACTCACCATATATCCACTCACAGAAACACACGTTATGTTTCTTTATTATATCATTTAATAAGCTTGGCTATGTGCCATATATAACATTCTTTCTATACGGAAATTAACAATGCCATAGTTACATAGACCTGTATCGGACGTCGCACTAAATCCCAGTTTAATACATTCTATTCACGTCACCATCTCCTGATACAGCTGATCACAGGCCGCAGTATGCATAGTATCCGGTGTGATTACTATGGGGACCAGCAGCCGGTAATAGAATAGCAATAAGTTTAGAAAGGAGTTGGTAATTAGTAACTGCTCCTATCCTGTGGGGAGTGGGGTACAATCACACAAACTGTGAGCATGAAATAGAGGAAGCTGATTACTAGAAGCGCTTACAGTAAAGTTAGATTTTAAATATTAGGAGAGAGTGAAAGCTAGTCTAATTGAAGAAGGGTTTCCACAGGAACGGCGCAACCCTTTAAGGCGAGAGACAGAGGCGCGAGTATGAACAGGAAGATGCAGGTCTTTGGAAGAGCGAATAGTTATTTATTAGTGAGAATGGTAAATACAGGCATTGTTTATTTGTTTCTTAGTCATTGCTGGTCACTGAAGTCCCTGAGAAAGTCCTATATACGGGCGAAACGCGTAGGACCCCTAGTGGTGACAGTGAGAATACATCCATTGTTTTATACCTTGATGTAAGTGATTAAATATATTTTATTCTATTTTTGAATGTGCACTACAATTTTTGTTATATTTCTCTCTTGAGCACACACCTTTCAACCATTCCAAGAGATATTGAATAGAGATGGAAGAACTGAATTTGAAAGGGCATATATGCTGATAAAGAAAATGTAGCGGACCGGCAATATTAAATCCCACGAATTCCGCTGGTACATACAGTAATCCACAGTCAGCGCTGAAAAGCAAGGCAATATCCGAGATCCCCCAGTAACCCGACGAAACACATTTCTGGAAGTCAACTGAGGTCTTTATTTGCAGCTCCAGTATTTATGCAAGTCCCCACGCAAGGGGTTTCCATACTGCCTTAGCAGGGGTAACACAGTAGGGGACTACATGGGGGACTTCACATTCTGGGCATTTCTCCTATCAGGCACTGCTGCACGAGAGGTATACTCCCACTGGAATATACCGTTAAGTGGATTATCACTCCGTGCAGCAGAACCGACAATTCACATTAAAATACAGGACTTTTCGAATACTTGACAGATTTAAACGAATGGACGTTCAGTAGATAGCTGGGGTCTGAGCCCACCGTTCGTGAGAATACCGCTCAGATCCCAGCTAAAACAACCGAACACCGTACGAAAAACACATTATTCATAACAAGTTAAAAGTACCGATTGACATAGATGGACCAAACTACCGAACGGTCTGGAAGCCCAGCGGTGTTCGCGCCGTCGAGTAGCCGTTTTCAGTTCCATGCGCTCGATAACCAAACACCGCTGGGGAACAAAGGATCCAAGATGGCCGACCGCCGCGTGGTCGGTAGCCGAACGTAGGCCACCTAGGAGAGCCTCTAATTACCGATTGCAACATTGTTGCAATCGGTCAACAAGCGCCACACATCCCTTAGCAAAGGTGCCGTTCGTGAAACGAAATAGAAAATGACTGTTTTCGGCAGATAGCCAATACAAGCAATACAGCATACAGGATACAGCAGATTACCACCAGGCACATACACAATGGTATTAAAGATACAGGCAACCCTTAAAAACATATTGTCTCTATTTAGTCCAAGTGGCTAGGTTTGCCACAGAAAACTTTTTTAAAGGGTTTCTAATTTCAACAAGAGTGTGAGTGGCCATTTGTGAATTTGACATTTGGTTAGAATATATACAGTATTATGCTATGTCCTGGTCTTGTTATTTGATTTAGCAGATTGTCCCCTTTTTTGTGTATATACTGTTGAAGACAGGAGGAAGTCTTTGGGGAATTCCACCCGACCAGGGAGGTTTTTTCTGCTTATTGCTAATTGAGCACTTTTTTGCACTGTGGTTTGTGTACACATATATTGCTTTCTTGTAACCACTGTGACTGCAGTAACGTTTGGGAATAAGTTACACGCTTTGCGTCTCTTTCTTATACTTTGACAGAGCCAACATTCTGATCCCAGAACAATAATTACCGCAGTATAAAGATGGTACAAGCGCAGAGGGGCTTGGCGCATTCCTACAGCTGGGAACGTATATTTTTAACAAACTAGAAGGATTACACTAATCTTCTTCTAAATATTGAGAGAGGGCTTGAATTAGAAAGCAATGGGAACATTTGTGACCTCTTCCATCTTAGGGATCGTCCAAACATCTGCCCATTCAGAAGAACACACAATGCGTCTATATATGGAGAACCATTAGCTTCAATTCAGGATTAATTAGCTTTCTGGTAAAATATTTTGGCCAGTCCTAAAAAAAGGACAAAATAAACACTAATTCTTCATTTAATCTATCTTAGTAACCACAAATATGTTCGGTTTAATTAGCATCGTATCCATGAAACTCCAATGCAGTTTAGTCCATTATGAAATAGATTTGAAACTAATTTCTGTACATTTTCTTTTAAACTTTGTGTTTGGGATGGGGCGACGGGAAGCAGTAACTGCCAGTGGGAGCAGTAACAGTGATACAGAAAGAGTAGTAGATACCTGGAATAGCCTTCCAGTGGGAGCAGTAACAGTGATACAGAAAGAGTAGTAGATACCTGGAATAGCCTTCCAGTGGGAGCAGTAACAGTGATACAGAAAGGGTAGTAGATACCTGGAATAGCCTTCCAGTGGGAGCAGTAACAGTAATATAGAAAGGGTAGTAGATACCAGGAATAGCCTTCCAGTGGGAGCAGTAACAGTGATATAGAAAGGGTAGTAGATACCTGGAATAGCCTTCCAGTGGGAGCAGTAACAGTGATATAGAAAGGGTAGTAGATACCTGGAATAGCCTTCCAGTGGGAGCAGTAACAGTGATATAGAAAGGGTAGTAGATACATGGAATAGCCTTCCAGTGGGAGCAGTAACAGTGATAGAGAAAGGGTAGTAGATACATGGAATAGCCTTCCAGTGGGAGCAGTAACAGTGATATAGAAAGGGTAGTAGATACCTGGAATAGCCTTCCAGTGGGAGCAGTAACAGTGATATAGAAAGGGTAGTAGATATATGGAATAAACTTCCAGTGGGAGCAGTAACAGTGATATAGAAAGGGTAGTAGATACATGGAATAGCCTTCCAGTGGGAACAGTAACAGTGATATAGAAAGGGTAGTAGATACCTGGAATAGCCTTCCAGTGGGAGCAGTAACAGTGATATAGAAAGGGTAGTAGATACCTGGAATAGCCTTCCAGTGGAGAGATGCATGGTTTATTAATTTTAATTGTTGGTTCAGCACCGTGCCCCCTGTATTTAGTGATCTGAATATGTGAATTTAAAGTAAACCCTTCACTACCAAGTTATTTAATCACAAAAAAATAGAATAATATCAAATATAATGAAGGTAATTGTCTATGATGAACGTAACGTTGGTGATATAGCGGCACCATAACAATCATACATGGATTACGGACACTGGATAGAAATTTAAATCCTACCCCAATCTTAACAAGACACACAAAGAGAATGCGACTTCATATTGTACAGATACAGGACACGGCCACCATTACGATATCACCAATACTCCAAACAGGAAACATTCAGAATAAATTACCCAAACACACGTACGAACACTTACAGTCACTGTGACAAAAATTAGATGAAAAAAAAATTACGTGAGGGGCAAATAAGGCCGTAAAAAGGTAATAAGTGGGTTGAGGTGTGCCGGAACTGACGTCGTGGTAGGCCTGTAATAAAAGAGGGCCCACCCATGAGGTGTAATGAAAGTATAGATAGATAGAGGGAGTGGAGGGTGGGGACATGCGAGACGCTGAAAAACGTACGGGACAGAGGAAGGAGAGTAGGGGGGGTTTAAATAGGTACCATGCCCCTCCCACAACTGCAGGCCAAGCCTTAACATTTGTGTGAGGGGCAAACTAGGCCGGAACCAACGTTGTGGTAGGCCTGTAATAAAAGAGGGTAAAAATTGGGTACCTGTCAGAAACGAAAAACAATCAACAAAACCTAATGCCTAGCTGTATGGAAAATGCCGAGCGGGGAAATAG